TAACTCTGATTTAATTAAGTTTACCAATTTTTTGTGACTTCGTGACACCAAATACCAGTCGAGAAGTGATTGGCAGTCCGATTTATTCATGTAGGACCATTATTTGACTTCATTGCGACTACATTTGGGTAATTAGTCGGACCCGCTCGTCGTCTTCTGGGCTCTGCTCTACCAGCTCGGCTCCTCTGCATATAGATTGCTGTAATCACTAATAAACAATGGTATTGACTCCCAATAATTAAAATTCGTAACTGATGTAGCAGTTAAAATGTATAAACAGAGATACGGTGCTTGTGAAAAAAATAAAAATCATTACCGACGATCTTGGTACTGTAGTGGATCCTCTCCCCTACAACTCCCAACTGAGCTCCGTACATACATACATACATACATAAAAGCTAGTGACAGGGGGGAAAGAGGTTCAGGGGAAGGATAAAGGGAGGATAGATGTGAATTTTAGGAGGAGAGAATAGGTAGTTTTACGGAGTCATCGTCAGATTTAATTACGCGCCCTATTTTAGTGTCATCAGCAAATTTACTTATGTTGCTGTCTATGCCGATATCTATGTCGTTTATGTATATAATAAATAATAATGGTCCGAGTACTGAGCCTTGGGGAACTCTAGTGACGTTGCTCCAGTGGGATTTAGTGCCGTTAATGCTCACTCGCTGTTTTCTTACTTTTTTACTTACCTTTATCTTCTTCACCACTGATCGGCTCGTTCGCCGCCCGGGTAATCGGTCACGTCTCTGTCACTCACTGTTGGCAAGTACTGGGCATGCACCGGCTCCTGAATGTACCTGAACCCGCTCCAGTGTTGGCCAAGTCTTGTCTTGAAAGAGCTCACACTCGGTGCCGTCACAACACTCTCTGGTAGATTGTTCCAAGAGTTTACAACTCTCACTCCGAAAAAGTTTGCCCTCACAGTTTTCTGGACTTGCGGCTTCTTCAGTCTTGAGCTGTGACCCCTTGTGGGGCGAGAGTCCGCCAGCTCCAAGTGTTGTATTTTTTAACTCTTTTAAAAGTAATAGTATGACTTATGTAATATTACAGTAATAGTATGGCTTATGTTGTATTACTGTGATAGTATGACTTATGTAATATTACAGTAATAGTATGGCTTATGTTGTATTACTGTGATAGTATGACTTGTGTTGTATTACTGTGATAGTATGACTTATGTAATATTACAGTAATAGTATGGCTTATGTTGTATTACAGTGATAGTATGACTTGTGTTATATTACAGTGATAGTATGACTTAACATAAGAACATAAGAAAGTGGGATACTGCAGGAGGCCGACTGGCCCATACAGGGCAGATCCCTTTCACACCCATCCCAGCACTTCCATGTGCCTATCCAACTTCGTCTTGAAGCTCCCTAGCGTCCCCGATCCTACTATAGCACTCGGTAGCCTATTCCACATATCCACAACTCTATTACCAAACCAGTGCTTGCCTATATCCTTTCTGAATCGGAATTTATCTAATTTAAAGCCATTTGTTCTAGTTATTTCGTTATTACTGAGCTTCAGAACATCTTCCATTTTACCCTTGTTAATCCCACTTACCCACTTATACACCCTATCATATCTCCCCTAACTCTACGCCTCTAATGAATGTAAGCCTGCTTTTCAGTCTTTCTTCATATGGAAGGTTTCTAATATTATGGATCATTTTTGTCATTCTTCTTTGTACTCTCTCCAAAGAATCTATGTCCATTCTATAATAAGGACACCAGAACTGAACCGCATAATCCATGTGTGGCCTCACTAATGCTAGGTAAAGTTTCAAGATAACGTCAGCAGTTCTGTTACTCACAGACCTAGATATGAACCCAAGAATCCTGTTTGCCTTGTTGCGAACGCTAATACATTGTTTTCTAGGTTTCAAGTCGTTGCTAACAAATACACCTAGATCTTTTTCACAAACTGAGTTTTCTATTTCCGTGTTACCTAGTTTATACTTAACGTTTGTATTCGTCTTCCCTATCTGTAGTACCTTGCATTTATCAGTATTAAAATTTATTTGCCAGTCTACTGACCACTCATGTAAGGTATCTAGATCTCTTTGAAGGTGTTCAAAGTCACTGTCTGAATTTATCACTCTCCCCATTTTGGTATCATCTGCAAATTTACTAATCCTACTAGTTATGCCTAAATCAAGATCATTAATGAATATAACAAACAGCAGAGGGCCTAATACAGATCCCTGGGGAACTCTGCTTTTGACCGCACCCCAGTCTGACTTTAATCCATTTATGCTGACTCTTTGTTTCCTACCAGTTAACCATGACTCAATCCATTTTACTCAATTCACCTATTCCATGTGTGCTTCTACCTTCCTTATCAATCTCTCATGAGGGGACTCTATCGAATGCTTTACTGAAATCTAAATAAATTATATCATTACTTATCATTATCTACCTGCCTACATATACTTCTGAGGAAAAGCTAAGCAAATTTGTGAGACAAGAACGTCCCTGGGTGAACTCCTTTGCTGAGAAGAAATGAATTAAGTTGAATCGTTTCAAGGTGGCTTCTGATTTTGTAGCAATAATTGACTCTAGCAAATTTGTCTATGATTGACGTGAGACTAATGGGACGGTAATTTGATGCGCTGATTTATCACCCTTTTGAAAAATCGGAACTTACATTTGAAAGTTTCTGCACCTAGTCTCGATTCTAATGACTTCATTAAACAAACTGCAATGCTCTGGATTACTCCTAACCTATCTCTACATTCTTAATATTCTAGCATATAAATTGCCTGGACCAGGCGATTTATGAGGCTTCAGTTTGTTAATTACTTTTGCTAATATCATTATTTCATAGTAATATTGATATTCATCAACATATTTTCTATACTGTCGTTATATACCTTATGAACTTCTGGAAATGCTAGGTTTTCATTTGTGAATACGGAGCTTAAAATGACTATTTAACGTATTCACACATTTCTAACTCATCATCAGTCATTTCTCCCTGTCGTAGTTTTAAGGGACCCATTGTATCTCTACCATTACTTGATTTATACAGCTGATAAAAAGCTTGTGTTGTATTACAGTAATAGTATGACTTATGTTGTATTACAGTGATAGTATGACTTATGTTGTATTACAGTAATAGTATGACTTATGTTGTATTACAGTGATAGTATGACTTGTGTTGTATTGCAGTGATAGTATGACTTGTGTTGTATTACAGTGATAGCATGACTTGTGTTGTATTACAGTAATAGTATGACTGTTGTATTACAGTGATAGTATGACTTATGTTGTATTACAGCGATAGTATGACTTGTGTTGTATTACAGTAATAGTATGACTTATGTTGTATTACAGTGATAGTATGACTTATGTTGTATTGCAGTGATAGTATGACTTATGTTGTATTACAGTAATAGTATGACTGTTGTATTACAGTGATAGTATGACTTATGTTGTATTACAGTAATAGTATGACTTGTGTTGTATTGCAGTGATAGTATGACTTATGTTGTATTACAGTAATAGTATGACTTATGTTGTATTACAGTGATAGTATGACTTATGTTGTATTACAGTGATAGTATGACTTATGTTGTATTACAGTAATAGTATGACTTGTGTTGTATTGCGGTGATAGTATGACTTATGTTGTATTGCAGTGATAGTATGACTTATGTTGTATTACAGTAATAGTATGACTTATGTTGTATTACAGTGATAGTATGACTTATGTTGTATTACAGTAATAGTATGACTTATGTTGTATTACAGTGATAGTATGACTTATGTTGTATTACAGTGATAGTATGACTTATGTTGTATTACAGTAATAGTATGACTTATGTTGATAGTATGACTTAGTATTACAGTAATAGTATGACTTATGTTGTATTACAGTGATATAGTATGACAGTGATAGTATGACTGTTGTATTACAGTGATAGTATGACTTATGTTGTATTACCAGTAATAGTATGACTGTTGTATTACAGTAATAGTATGACTTATGTTGTATTACAGTAATAGTATGACTTATGTTGTATTACAGTAATAGTATGACTTATGTTGTATTACAGTGATAGTATGACTTGTGTTGTATTACAGTAATAGTATGACTTATGTTGTATTACAGTGATAGTATGACTTATGTTGTATTGCAGTGATAGTATGACTTATGTTGTATTACAGTAATAGTATGACTTATGTTGTATTACAGTAATAGTATGACTGTTGTATTACAGTGATAGTATAACTTATGTTGTATTACAGTAATAGTATGACTTATGTTGTATTACAGTGATAGTATGACTTATGTTGTATTACAGTAATACCTGTAGTATGACTGTTGTATTACAGTAATAGTATGACTTGTGTTGTATTAGTGATAGTATGACTTGTGTTGTATTTCTGTGATAGTATGAATTATGTTGTATTACAGTAATAGTATGACTTGTGTTGTATTACAGTGATAGTATGACTTGTGTTGTATTATAGTAATACCTGTAGTATGACTGTTGTATTATAGTAATGGTATGACTTGTGTTGTATTACAGTGATAGTATGACTTATGTTGTATTGCTGTGATAGTATGAATTATGTTGTATTACAGTAATAGTATGACTTGTGTTGTATTACAGTGATAGTATGAATTATGTTGTATTACAGTGATAGTATGACTTGTGTTGTATTACAGTGATAGTATGACTTGTGTTGTATTACAGTAATACCTGTAGTATGACTGTTGTATTACAGTAATAGTATGGCTTATGTTGTATTACAGTGATAGTATGACTTATGTTGTATTACAGTGATAGTATGACTTATGTTGTATTGCTGTGATAGTATGAATTATGTTGTATTACAGTAATAGTATGACTTGTGTTGTATTACAGTGATAGTATGACTTGTGTTGTATTACAGTAATACCTGTAGTATGACTGTTGTATTACAGTAATAGTATGACTTATGTTGTAGTACAGTTTGAACTGATGACATGACTTATGTTGCAGTATCTGTCTGGCTTTGGGTCTGAGTTTGCCTCAGAAGCACTGCCCGGTGCATTACCTGAGGGCCAGAATAGCCCTCAGGTGTGCCCCTACGGCCTTTATGCTGAGCAGTTATCTGGAACGGCATTTACAGGTGAGCTTTGTTATTCTATTGTGTGATGTTTAATACTATGTAGTTCTGGCATTTTGATAAATAAACTTGATTCCCTGAAAATTATGGTGACTTGCAAGTTATAGAAGTCTTCTAGAACTGATTAGGTTCAGTAAAGTTTGGCCAAGTTCGGTGTAACAGTGGATTTATCCCGGTGGGCGACAAAGTCAGATGTAAGTACAACAACCAACTTTATTTTTGTAGTAATGGCATACAAGTATACATCCACGACAAGTGCACACACACACACAAAAAAAAATACAACCCAAGTAGTCCCCAAACATGTACACACTCTTTGTTAGAACTTCACAACAAGGTGCCTATATTAGAGACGTAATACCTGTACTGACATGCGTATTAAGACAGCATCTCAGTGGTAATATAATTACATTAATATTTCACTCACTTATGTTTAACAGAAGAACATAAGAAAATAAGGAGTCTGCAATAGGCCGGTTGGTCTGTGCATGGCAGCTCCTTTCGAGAGTTACTACCACTCTCTATCATTCATGAATCTATCTAGCCTCCTTTTAAAACTTTCCATCATTCCAGCACTTACTACAAAGTTGCTAAGCTTGTTCCACTCGTCCACCACCCTATTTGTGAACCAGTTCCTTCCTATCTCCCTCCTAAACCTAAACTTATCCAACTTAAATCTTTTGCTACGAGTCCTATCCTACTCGGATATTATAAGAGCTTTATCTATATCACCTTTATTGTTTCCTTTCACCCATTTAAATACTTCTATCATATCTCCACGCACTCTTCGTCTTTCTAGGGAATGCAAGTTTAGTTATCTTTAACCTATCTTGATATGGAAGGTTTCTAAGTCCCAGAATCATTTTCGTCATTTTTCGCTGCGCCGACTCCAGTGAATTGATATCCATTCTATAATAAGGGCACCAGAACTGAACCGCATAATCGAGGTGCGGCCTGACTAGCGCAAGATATAGTTGCAATAAGACCTCTGCACTCTCATTACTTTCACTTCTAGATATAAAACCTAATACTCTGTTTGCCTTATTTCGAACATTAACTCACTGTTTTCTAGGCCGTAGGTCCGGGCTTACAAATACTGTACCCATAAGTCTCTTTCACAAGTCGACTTCTCTAGGTTGATGTTGTTAAGGCTGTATACATTGACAGTATTTGTTCTTCCAATATTAAGTATGCTGCACTTGCTGGTGTTGAATTTCATTTGCCATTTTTCTGACCACTCTTGCAGTTTATTTAAATCCTCCTGTAGTGCATTTACATCCTGCCCTGAATTAATCTGCCGCCCTATTTTGGTGTCATCCGCAAACTTGCTTATGTCACTGCTGATCCCAGTATCTAGATCGTTTATGTAGATTATGAACAAGAGTGGGCCCAGTACTGACCCCTGGGGAACCCCTCTGGTTACACAGCCCCACTCAGATTTAACACCATCTACACTGACCCTCCGTGTTCTATCGGTGAGCCATGATTTTATCCAATTTAAAACTTTCCCCTCGACACCATGAGCCTTAACTTTTCTCAGAAGTCTCTGATGCGGTACTCTGACAAACGCTTTGCTAAAGGCTAAGTAAATAGCATCGTAATTTTCGTCATTATCTACTACCTCAAAGACTTTCCTTAAGCTTAATGAGGTGATCTAGTGTCTATAGTCTGTGAAACATTGTCTGTACAGTAAGTCCTCTCTTAACGTCGCCCCTCTTAACGTTGTTTCAGTACTACGTCGCTGAACTTTAGAGACCAAAAATTTGTTTAACGTCCCGATGATCCGATTCTACATTGCTTTGCGTTGTCAAGGACTACTTTCTACGGCGCATCACCCGCTCTTGTCTGGCCACTACACTCTCTCGGCTCGGCGAGCTGCCCTCACTCGCGGAGCGTCACAGCGTCCCCAAGCGACACCAAGCCAGTCTCTGTTATGACTTCACAACATTCGTGTGTGCTTAAGTGCTTTTGCTCTAAAACTATACTCTAACCATTCAAAATGGTTTCCAAGTTCCCATTAAGTGCTACTGATGCTAGTGTAGTGAAGAGGCAATGTAAGACCATTACCCTTGCTACGAAAATGGATGTATTAACCCTATTTGAAAAAGAGGAACGTGATGTGGACATAGCCGCTGTGCTTAGTCTAACCCCCACGACGGTGCGTACTATCTGGACCAACGCTGACAAGATTAAGGCTAGTGCTGGAAGTGATTCTTCTCTGAGTGTTACTAAGACGACTCGTACTAGAAGTACTGTGATAGAGAAGGTGGAAAAGATGCTGGCAATGTGGATGGAGGACCAGAGTCAACGCAATGCCCTTGTGAGCCTTAAGGTTATCCAGCATCGGGCCAGATCCTTGTTTGACAACATGAAGGAAACAGAGGGTAAAGGATCGAAGGAAGAGACCTTTACGGCCAACCGAGGCTGGTTTCAACGATTTAAGCATCGGTATAACTTCCACAACATAAAGATGACTGGTGAAGCTGCCAGTTCAGATACAGTTGCTGCCGAGACATTCCCGCCAACAACGGAGGAAGAGCAAACATCAACAGAGGAGGAGCAAGCAGCAGCGGAGGAACCCCAGTCAGAGCAGGAGGAAGAGGAGGAGGCAGACGCAGAGTCTCAGTGACTCGCCACCCTCCTCCTTTCCCGCCCTCCGCTGCTCCTGCCATCCTCCTCCTTTGCTTCACTACCCACCACCACACACTTGCTCTACCACCTCCGCCCATCGGTGAGTACCAATACAAACTTAGTACTGTAGTTCTATACAAGTATACTATTTTCTATAGAAATAGCAATGATTTTCTGTACTGTATATGTAACTTTTTTCATGGGGCAAAGGGAGGCTCAGGAACATAACTCCTGTATTTTATCTATTTCTTAAGGGGAAAATTGATCCGCTTAACGCTGTTTCGCATAATGTCGCTTTTTCAGGAACATAACGCCCGATGTTAAGCGAGGACACCCTGTACTTCTGTATGGTCTCTTATGCCCCAACGTAGATCCTACTAAATGTATGTACACCAAGGCCTATAGACTATCACTCCTGCTTTGCTACCCAGGCAAAATTTAACCTGTGGTGCCCCTTCCCAATGCCAAGGGGGATGGGAATCGATTTGGAATTTTCTCATCATTTACTCTGCGCTACCCTCAGGTCACATGCACAAGAGTCTTATGATAAGACTATTGTAAGAAGCTGACTGAAGTGACGTTGCCAGGCATTGTGCCCTAGTCCTTGCAGCCAATCCCATGACAAACTAATACAAAACACCTGTTAGCTGCCAACAACCTAGTGTTTGAGTCTGCACGAGTCCCCTTTTGCCTTAGGTCTAATGGCACACTTATCACCTCCCTCCCTGCCTCACTAAGTGGCATATACCATACAGTACTATCCGTGCAGTGTACAATATTGCAGCATTATCTTTTATATATACCTGTACTCACAGTTGTCTTCTAGCTTATTGCACTGACTTTAAGTGTTCGTTAAGAATACAGTTCTTGTATGAAGAAATTATTTGCTTCTCATTCTATAACTCAACTTTTGGATTGAATGTGTGCAGACTCTACACTAAATATCATAGCCAGTAAAGTGAAATATTTGATTGTAAATATAGGGTCTCCCAGAAAAATGTCCCTCCCTCCCTGCCTGCCTGCTCCATGAGACACTGAGTTGGAAGGAGGAGGCAGGGAGGAAGTCAGGGGGCAGGCAGGGAGGCAGAGACATTTTTCTGGGACACCCTATATATACCCAAGACCAAACTCACCAGTTCCAGGAATACAGGGAAAGTGATACATGTGAACCATATAGCAGTTGACAAAGTTAAGAAAAAATCTCAGAAATTCAAGAGGTGGGTTATGACAAATGATGAGAAGGATGGGATGATGTATGCCAGGTCCAGGAATCAAGCAAATACAGAGTGTAGAAGTGCTGAAAAAGAGTTCCAGAGGCAGATTGCAAGCGAGATCAAGTCAAACCCACAGGCTTTCTACCATTACGAAAATAAAAATAAAAAAACGTGTGGTATTATTGGAACTGAGACTTGAAGATGGTAATTACGAAGACTCTGATCAGGACAAGGCGGAGGCGTTGAAAATTTTTTTTTCTCGGTGTTCACGGCACTGAACATATCTGTCAACACCCAGTACATTTTAGCCAGCACCCAACGTATATCTTCGTCACAATGCAATATATTTTAGATAGCACTCAACATATCCTTGCCAGCATTGAACATATCTTTGTCAGCACCCAATACTGTACACCTTCACCAGTACTCTTTGTCAGCACCCAATACTGTACACCTTCACCAGTACTCTTTGTCAGCACCCAGTGATTCTTCATTAGCACTCAATACCTCTTTTTTTCAACACCCAACATACCTTTGTAAGCAACAAGAACATCTGTATCAGCACCTATTACATTTGTCTGAGAAGGCTACAACAGTAGGTGCAGGTGTTGGAAGACAACAACAGTAGGTGCAGGTGTGGGAAGACAACAACAGTAGGTGCAGGTGTGGGAAGACAACAACAGTAGGTGCAGGTGTGAGAAGACAACAACAGTAGGTGCAGATGTGGGAAGACAACAACAGTAGGTGCAGGTGTGGGAAGACAACAACAGTAGGTGCAGGTGTGGGAAGACAACAACAGTAGGTGCAGGTGTGGGAAGACAACAACAGTAGGTGCAGGTGTGGGAAGACAACAACAGTAGGTGCAGGTGTGGAAAGACAACAACAGTAGGTGCAGGTGTGGGAAGACAACAACAGTAGGTGCAGGTGTGGGAAGACAACAACAGTAGGTACAGGTGTGGGAAGACAACAACAGTAGGTGCAGGTGTGGGATGACAATAATATTCAACCCTTTGCTTGTCCTCAGCACCTCGAGAGACCAACAGGAGGTCATGGTTGTACAGAATTCGACCATCAGTCGCCCACAAACCTTTTGCAACCATCAAGCACAACTTCCTTGAGAGTGACTTCAGCAAGAGACATCCCAACCCCAATCAGGTGAGAGCAGTGATCTACAGTAAACATCTCATTGTGGAAGTGGGTAACATAGGCCTGATGACCTGTTAGGGGCAGTGATGATATGGTACAGTACTGTACATATAAACTTTACAGATATGCCTGCTTACTTATCAAAGGCATAATACACAAAGTGCTGTACAGGGGGTATCCATAAAGTCCCTAAAGATACTTATATCTTTGACTCAAAAATCAATACAAACAATTTCATTACATACCGGTACTTACATTAAATGTAAATCTTCTTGATGTCAGTCACACCCTTAAGGCAGCATCACACAGGCACTTGTACTGGCATTTTTTGCTTTTGGCTAGTGCAGTACCAGTGGCTCCCGAAATTGTTGGAGTTTCATCTTCCAGCAGCTGATTTCCCCAGACCAACATAATGGTCTTGAAATCACATCTACCAACAATTATCCAGAATCAAAAGAGAGTCACTATTGTACTACATACAGTGGTTTTCAATCTTTTTGCCTCTGCGGCCCCCCTGTGTCCAATAAAATATTTTAGGGCTCCCCTAGGTCTAGATGAGATATGACACCCCCCATATTTGTTAAATAAAAAAGTGATTGCTTTTGCTTGTACCACTACCGTACATAACTTGGTATCCTGTAATAAACCAACAAACATGTCTAAATATAAAATTAAATTTCAAAACGTAAAGAAAATAAAAGCTTAACTTATAATCACAGTTGACTTTTCTCAATGTTGCCTAATAAAACTAATATTAAGCCTGCTGTTTGTGCCTAGCAATAATTTTATTAATGTGCGGGGAGATCTTTGATAAGCAGACATGCACATCATCATCAGTGTTTAACCTTGACCTGTATTTAGTTTTCAGTGCTATCATGAGTGTTAAAGCTAGCTTCACACAGGTAGGTGGTGCTGAATTATATAAAAACCTTCATTCCTGCATTGTGACATACCTAGAACTCATCACCACACTCAGCCCAGATTGTTTCCAGTAACATTTCATTGAAATGAGCTCTAAGGGTGCCACCTGATGACAAGTCAATGAGCTCCTCCAAGAGTTTGGACGGTGAAGTGGATGGAAGTTTTGTCTCAATAATCTCAGTAAAGAGGTTTGCAATCCACTGGTAAGAAGCAGCTTGTTCCTCTGTTAGTTCAGGAAAATAACTGTACAGTACAGCACCGTACTGTAAAGAAATATTGGTGTACCCATACATGAGCACTTTGTTGACTCTCTGCCCTTGGAAAACACCACAAGTACACTTTACTTTCATCCTCTTCACCACTGATTGCCTAGTTAGCCTCTTAAGCCACCTTGAAAACATTACAGTAATCTTAACATTACAGACTGTAGGGGGCAGTGTTATGACAATAGGGGCAACATGTGAGGACACAATTAATTAATACAGAAAAGAGTACAGTACAGTGTACAGTGGTCCTTCGGTTAATGAACACAATTTGTTCAAGAAGGTCGTTCGTTAACCGAAACGATTGTTTCAATGGGATTTTGGGTAATTGGTTCCAGCTCACCGAAAATTACATACTGTACAAACTAAAAATAAATGCAGTAAAGTAAACTTACTTTGAGGTGTGCATGTAGAAGGCTCCTGGATGATGATGATGGGAATTAGAATGGGGGTGGAGGAGAAGGGAGAAGAGAAGGCATTGGGGTGGAAGAGAAGTCACCCCATGCTGCCATTTCACCGATAAAATTTTAGTTCACTCGGTGTAATTCAAGATTATTTTCTTTAAATCAACACTGCACTGCATTATATATTGTCAATATGTAAAATAAACTTCAAAATTACCAATAATTTGACTGGAAACACAGAAAAAAATCCATTTATGTTGAAGAGAGTCTCAAACAAGATGTTCCTTCCTCTGAGCTGGTAAACAAACTGACGCCTAACTTGGTGTGTTGAGTGGCTGTTTGGTGTGCAAAAAACTAGTTTCCTGTACTTCAATTATGTTCAATAATTGCTAAAATGACTAAAAAAATTAATATAAAACTTTTAAAATTATTGAATAGTACAACCTTCTTGATATTTACTAAAATGGTAACGAATTTAAGCCCTAGAACCGATTACTGTATTGGCGGACTAATACTACAGCTGGTGAGCAGGCAAATGCAAGCAAAAACATGTTTGGAAAAATTCGTAAGGAATTCGTTAACCAAAATTTTTTCGTTAACCGAAGTGAAGAATCTTATGGAAGGTAATTCGTTAACCAAAATTTCGTTAATCGAGGCGTTTGTTAACCGAGGGATCACTGTATTGGAAATCAATAAAAATGCTTTGTATATGTATTTTGGTAGTCAATAGCCTCAACCTGGTTGTTGCTGATGTCGTAAAGTCATCAGAGTTCTTGGTGTGTTTTTTGGGGGTCATTTTACTGAGTTTATACACCCCTTTCAGTTCCTCAATGTACTGCTGGTCTATCCTGAAGAAATATGTTACTAACCTAACTATCAAAAAAATATCCATGGTTGGATTGGAATGTCAAATTAACAGTGTCAAAGTACTGTACTCTGCTTCCAATTACGGGAAGTACTTGCTACTCTAATTTCTCTTACCAAAGATACAATTAAAAAAAGGGGGAGATAGCGAGAATACATCTACGTACTGTGCTGCACAGTATATCAGTCCACCTTACAAAAGAGATTGGATCATGTTTGAGTGTATTAATATGGTACATACAACATATTGTTTCAAGTAAATGTCACAAACAAACTTTTTTAGAACCCATTATCACCATCAACACCATGAAAAGTTGATCTGAAGGAATTCACGATTCCTTCACAGTTACTGAGAAAATGAACTTTTGTCGACAATAACAGTTGGAAGGGAAATCACGGAGGGCTTGGACATTGAAATGTCACTTCCAAAGGAAAGATGTAGAAAGAAAACCCATAATTTTTTTATTTAACCCTTTGGCTGTGGGAGGTTACCTTAAGCTGAATAAAATCATCTGGCGGTAGCCAGAATAAAATGTCAAATGCAGGAATGCAGAGAAAGGGTTAATGAAACATACAGTATTAAAAAGCTTTAGTACTTCTCTAAGAAACGAAATATTAGTACTGTACAGTACAGTACATGTTTCTGTGTTTTTTATTTTTTATTAACCAACAACGGTAACCGAATTTGACTGGCTAGGAACTGTACTCTTACATTAATAGGGTATGATTTGACCAACTTCAGGTTCTTAATGTCTGTAACAGTGTAAGTAAGCAGCCATAATTTTCATGAAAATAAATCAAGCTACAGTGTCAAGTTTGCAGATGAAACAAAGATACGGAGTATATGGGAAGGTAGCAAGTCCAAGGGGTCGCAGCTGAAGGTTAAAGAAGCCACAAGTCCAGAAAACTGTGAGGGCGAACTTTTTCGGAGTAAGAATTGTGAACTCTTGGAACAATCTCCCAGTGAATGTTGTGACAGCACCGAGCGTGAGCTGTTTCATAACCAGACTTGACCAGCACTGGAGCAGGCTCAGATACATTCAGGAGCCAGTGCATGCTCAGTACTTGCCAACGGTGCATAACAGAGACGTGACCGACCTCCCAAGTGGCTAACGAGCCAATCAGTGGCGAAGAGGATAAAAGTAAAAAGTAAAAAAAGACGATGTCACAACTAAACTAAAAAAAATCAGCATAAGCTGCTGAATTTGTCTTGAGACTGGCAAATACTTTATAATAACAAAATGTAAGACTCTACATGTAGGCTACAACAAACTTATTCACAACTACAGTATTCTGTTAACTCTTTTCTGGATACTGTTGATAGGGAAAAAGATCTAGCTTTTGTAATAGATCAGTAACTGAAGTGAAGGCAGCACAAGTGGGAGCAGCAGTAAAACAAGCAAACTGAGATGTGGGTATTATAAAGCGTACCTTCAAATACAAAGTTAGGAGAATGCTCTTTCAACTTTATAAATCTCACATACATCCCAGTCTGGATCACTGTATACAAGCATGGAAACTGTACCTCTGGAAAGACTTAGCATCCCTAGAAAAGGTGCAACTAAGGTGATTCTGAAACTATGTCATCTCGATTATATCCTCGTAGACTAAAAACTATTCAGACGAGACACAATCTCATACAGACATTCTTAATCTTGAAAGGGATGGAGAATGTGAACTCGGGACATTTTACATGATGTCACACACCAACAACACAACGAGACACACCTGTAACTTCAAGTTTGCCAAGTTATCATGCAGAACAATCATAAGGATAATACTTCTTTCCACAGAGAGTGGTAGATCTATGGAACAGTCTACCAGTTCAATCTGTGGAATAAAAAATGGTTTACTGGGCCTCAAAATAGCCCTAGACAAGACTATCAAGAATATTGGAGGACTCATTCACAGACAACTGGCTTCCTTCTCTCACCATAGCCACTTCTAGTTGGGTGACCATTAGATATACAGTATAAGGTATACAGTATATGAATATATGTTGCAAGGTTGAGATGGAGATAAAAGAAATGGTTGCCACTTTTGTAATTGCAGTAAGTATAAAAGTACATCTCCGTGCTAGCCAGAATATTTGGTGCAGAGCGGTTATGGGTTTGAGAGATCTCTGGATACTGTACTGTACGTATTAAGAAAAATTTTCTCATACCCGGAAAAAATTGCACCTCCCCATAATTTTTCCAGGCACGGGTGAATGTTTCCGCATCAGACTGCAGTTGGATAGACACACAACGGTATTTATTTATGTCAAGACTACTGCACATGTACAATATATTGTAAATAACAAAATATACTACTGCATACACTATACAGTACTGTACTCACCAGTGAATGTTGTCATCTTGAGCGTGTGATGCAGGCAGGCCAAATGGTAATTATTATGATACAGAATGGCGACCTACCTTTGTCCTGTGGCACCTCCTGTCACTCTCCTCTCCTTCCATGAAGGAGCAATTGTACATACACTGTGTACTGTACATACACCTGTACACACTAGCCTACAGTAGGTATACACTGTCCACTTTGCTATGTGTAGTACTGCACCATACATATGGTACTTTCACACTTACCCAAAATCTTTACTGATGGACTGAAAAATATGAACAGTTAATTATTGTATAACTAAACTTTCAGCTACGATGGAAGCCTTTCGACATCCCAAAGGAGGACATAGACTTCGTGAATGGTCTACGAACAGTATGTGGGGCAGGCGAGCCACTTTCTCGCAATGGTTGTGCCATCCATATCTATGTCTGCAACATTTCAATGGCCAACTCTGCCTTCTACAACAGTGATGGAGATTTCCTCATTGGTATGTTATGATAGGCTGAAGGTGAAAGTCTATTTTGTAATCCTTGCTTTATCTTCTTTACCACTTGTCAGCTTACTAGTGAACCTAAATTATGTTAATTAATTTAAGTCCATTCATATATAGTACAGTACAGTAATTTTTTTATCTTTATCAGCACTCCAAAAGGAAAGTTAGGTTAAGGTGAATTAGTTTAGGATAAATATGGTAGTTTTATGATCCATTCCTAATAAACCTAACGTTAAGAGAAATTATCGCTAAATAAGGGATAATGAGAAATAATATCCAAGGAAATAAGAAAAATTAAGAACGTGTGTGTGTGTGTGTGTGTGTGTGTGTGTGTGTGTGTGTGTGTGTGTGTGTGTGTGCGTGCGTGCGTGCGTGCGTGCGTGCGTGCGTGCGCGCTTGAGCTCGTGGAGGCAGTGGACCATAACTGTGTCGCCAACTCACCACCCAATAGTACTCGGAGTGGCTGAGACTCAGCTGTGATCTATGTTATGGTTATTTTTCAAATTGTAATTTCAGGTACGGTAGATGAATTTTCTCTAGCTCCCAAATTTTTCTGGGTACTGGTGAGAATATATATATATATATATATACAGTGACCCCTCGTTTAACGAACACCTCGGTTAACGTAATTTCGATTAACGAACTGCCTTCCATAAGGATCTTCAATTCGGTTAACGAAAAAAAATTCGCTTAACGAACTTCTTACGAACCGACCTCAACATGTTTTCGCTTGCACTGACCGGGCAACCAGCTTTAGTATCAGTCCGCCAATACATTAATCGGTTCTAGGGCTTAAATTCCTTACTATTTTTGTAAATATCAAGAAGTTTATACTATTCAATAATTTTAAAAGTTTAATATTCAATTTTTTAGTCATTTTAACAATTATTGAACGAAATTGAAGGTAAAGTGACTAGTTTAATGCGCGGCATCCAGCCTCTTAACACAGCAAACAGGCGTCAGTCTCTCTCTGTTTTCACTGGAGGTAACATCTTGCTTGAGACTCTCTTCAACTAAATGCTTTTTTTCTGTGTTTCCAAGCAAATTATTGGTCATTTTGAAATATATTTTATATATTGACAATATATAATGCAGTGCAGCATTGATTTAAAGAAAATAATCTTGAATTAAACCAGAGAGCTAAAATTTTATGGGTGAAATGGCACCATGGGGTGACTTCTCTTCCACCCCAATGCCTTCTCTTCTTCCTTCTCCTCCACCCCCATTCTAAATCCCATCATCATCATCATCATCATCATCCAGGAGCCTTCTACATACACACCTCAAAGTAAGTGAACTTTTCTACCATCTTTGTTGAATTTAGGAAATTTTCGGTGAGCTGGAACCAATTACCCAAAACCCATTGAAACAATGGTTTCGGTTAACGAACGTTTCGGTTAACGAACGACCTTCTGGAACGGATTGAGTTCGTTAACCGAGGGGCCACTGTATATATATATATATATATATATATATATATATATATATATATATATATATATATATATATATATATATATATAAATAAATAAATAAATAAATAAATAAATAAAGTTGGGTCATGATTTCTGTCAAATATTTTATGGCTTGTCTTCTCTTCCTAAAAGTATCTATTCATCAGTACCTCAACAGGGCACCTTGAACATCACTACGGAGTTTGGGAAACTGTGTGTATCACCCAATGAGATCTGTGTTGTGCAGCAAGGGATGAGGTTTAGTGTGGGTGTGCAAGAACCTTCCCGTGGTTACATCCTCGAGGTTTACAACGCTCACTTTGTTCTGCCCAATCTGGGGCCAATTGGTGAGTCTTGTGTAACTGTCACACCACCTACCAACAGTAACCATAAAATCATCTTCATTCAAGAAAGATCCCTATAAAAGATATATAACATTAAGAGTATGCTTGTTCTTAACTCCTTCACTATGTGGATGCCACTTTTAATATTTTATTGACTAACACCAGGTGATTTTATTCAGCAAACAGAGGACCCCATACACAAGTGATTAAGGAATAATTGCATTCAAAATAACATTAAGATTATGCTTGTCTTTAAAGAAAACATAAATTTAAAATAACTAGACATGATAAAACAGTAATGATTATCTAACATATACTGTCCTGTATAACTAAATAATTATTATTTTTTCAGTCTTTACTGTAATAGAGATTCTCCTCTTGTCGATATAGTAAATAATTTGTTATACAGATGATTTTGTTATATTTTTTCAACAATAAAGCTACATTATGATGCCATCAGTTAGCACTCTTAGGCAGTCGAGTACATTACCTGCTACTGCCTCCTTGTGCATTGAATATAGTTAGCTGTATCCACATTGCTTTTAATGGGCCTTCAAGCCTACAGGACCCACTTTTAACTTTCATCTTGACAAAACACCAAGACTAAACCACTACCACAAAATTAGATGTTATATAATACAATATCTTGATAATTGTCCAAAATGACTTGTGTCTCTAAAATTGAAAAACAAAATATGATAAGGAGGCAACAAGAGGTCTCACTAGCAGACTCCCAGCTGGCAGGAAATCATGGCTATAAGCTCTCTTTTTTTTTTTAAGGGTCCTAGGGCTCTGGTTATGCTGTTTAACCCTTAATTACTTTTTTTTTTTGCTTTTATCCTCTTTGCTGCTGCTCGGCGCGTTAGCTGCTTGTATGGAGGAATGTATAGCATCTGGCATATCATTTATGAAGCAAACAAACATTTTCAGTACAGCACACTTCCCTGTGATACCCTGCTTGTCCTGGGTACGCATGACGATTTCATGCCATTAATCACCACACACTGCTTGCAGTCGTGAAGAAAGTCTTTGATCCCTGAAATTCCGTATCCCTCCAGTTTCATTTTCAGCCTTTCATATGTGTCCACTGTCCACACATCCAGTATCTTAAGTACTGTAATTGCATCAAGCAGGAGTGTCAAGGCATAAAACCATGATGGCACTCTTTTACATGGTTGTTTCGTTGATGCTCCATCATGGCATCTTGTAAAATGCCCTCTAGTACTTATAATTCCTTTTACTGCATTTGCTTCAAGAATTTGAAATCTGTGTTATGTGATACTAAAGATTTGCTATACTAATGTTACTCATGTATCATTAACACTTTCCCCTGTGTAATACAGTATATTTAGTCTTTATCTGTTGAATATATGAAACAATGTCAAGAGATATTTACTGAGTATATCATGAAAGTCCCAAAATGCTATTTACTGTAGTACAAATTGTTAACAATAATCATAATAGAAGTAAAGAGGAGTCAACTTTTCCCTGATGTACAGGTGCCAATGGTCTAGCCAGCCCCAGGGACTTCTTAACACCAGTTGCTTGGTACGAGGATCGTGACGTGAATGACTTCCGCATCATCACCAAGTACCAGGTACCCAGCATTTACTTGTTTACTGATACAGTGGTCCCTCGGTTAACGAGCACCTCGGTTAATGAGATTTCGGTGAACGAGTTACTTTCCATAAGATTCTTAACTTCGGTTAACGAGCAATCTCTCGATTAACGAGTTTCTTACGAGCCGACCTCAACATGTTTTCGCTTGCATTTAGCGGTCCACCAGCTGTAGTATTAGTCCGCCATTACAGTAATCGGTTCTAGGGCTTATATTCCTTACCATTTTAGTAAATATCAAGAAGTTTATACTATTCAATAATTTTAAAAGTTTAATATTAAATTTTTTAGTCATTTTAACAATTATTGAACATAATTGAAGGTAAGGAAACTAGCTTCATGCACGCCATCCAGCCTGTCAACACACCAAACAGGCGTCAGTCTTTGTGTCTTTTCAGTGGAGGTAACATCTTGTTTGAGACTCTCTTCAACAAAATGCTTTTTTTCTGTGTTTGCAAGCAAATTATTGGTCATTTTGACATTTATTTTACATATTGACAATATATAATGCAGTGCAGTGTTGATTTAAAAAAAATAATCTTGAATTACACCAAGAGAACTAAAATTTGATGGGGGAAATGGCGCCATGGGGTGACTTCTCTTCCACCCCAATGCCTTCTCTTCTCCCTTCTCCTCCACCCCCATTCTAATTCCCATCATCATCATCATTCAGGAGCCTTCTACATACACACCTCAAAGTAAGTGTAATTTTCTACCTTTTTTGTTGAATTTAGGCAATTTTCAGTGAGCTGGAACCAATTACCCAAAAACCCATTGAAACAATGGTTTCGGTTAACGAACAACCTTCTAGAACAGATTGTGCTCGTTAACCGAGGGACCACTGTACAGTAGTGTATACTTTTAATGTAAGAAAATAATCATCTTTATGATGATCACTTTTTATTGTTTGGAAAATAACAAAGGAAGTTGAACTTAAGTGTAGGGATATGCTTAGTAATCACCGTGACAGTGTATGTTGAATACGTAACCCATTCAGTTATCACAATTAAGGTCTTAGTGGCAGTAAAAATACAAAGTTAACTGTCAAGCAGTGTTTAAAGTGTACAAAAGTCTGAACCACCTCTGTAACTCCTGTAAGTCACTGAACTAAGCTGCATGTGCCTGCACCATGATGGTATTGTGAATATGGTAATACAAGAAGTTCCTGATGAATCAGAATTCAGTTTAGTGACCTGTATTACCTATGTACAGTACCGTACTTGTTAGTCATTTTCATCACTCAGAAGACATTGTGGATTCTCACCAGGTGTGCTGCCCTTAAAATATCCCAAAACTAATGAAAAGTGATGGTAATGAGTGTAGTAGTGCATCTTTCAAACAGGGAGGTACTACCACCTTGGAAGGTATTGGAAGCATAATGTATTGTCTAATGGTAGACCCTGCTGCCATATGGCACGACAAAAATTGTGACCAAGTCCCAGGTTGCTGATCTGACTGACTTTCTGTCTCACTTAGATGCAATTTCAGTCTCATTTATTTCTCTTATTTTGACAACACAAGATACTGTATATATAAACAAAACTGTCAGCACCACCACAATAAATGAATGGCAAAACAATAAATTAATGTATTCCTAGATTTTTAGGAGAATTCTGGATTGATGAGAGAAGGGTTTTGTAATGGAAAACTTTGAGGTTTTTGAGGAGAGGCAGTTTTTTAAATGTTGGATTATTGAAGTTACACCTGTACCTTGAGATAATTGTACTGTAATTGAATTTGTTCAATTTTTTTTTATTATATGATGTGGTGATGACAGTGGTTTAATATATGATACTGTAATACAAATCTTCTTTCCTTTCAGGGACACCTGTTTGAAGCGCTGCAAGGCCACTCTCCTTTTGATGTTGTGGCATGGCATGGCAACTATGTCCCTTACAAGTACAACCTCAAACACTTCATGGTCATCAATGCAACTGCCTTTGATCATGCTGTGAGTCATGGGAAGCTATGATATTAGAATAATACTCTAAGTTAGATTTTGCTATTAAAACTTGAGTGGAACGAAAGAGAAGACAAAGTTTACCTGTACATAATGAAAATGTTAAAGTTAAACTAAAGAAAAGAGCTTAATAATTTTAGTAAAAGGATGAATATTAACATCAGGGAAAATTGTAAGCTATTTTGGAATAAGATAAAAAAATGTGAGAAGGGATGTTCTAGGAAAGAGTTTGTTTGGATTACGAAGAGAAGATAATAATAGAGACATAGATGTTAAGAGAAATATACAGCAGAAGGATATTTTTAGCATACAGTAGTATATTATGCTGATGTTGTACATTCACTCTTCTAATATTTTCCTTTGGGTGCTGACCATGCAGGACCCTTCCATCTTCACAGTGCTGACATGCCCTAGTGAAAAGCCTGGAGTTGCCATTGCAGACTTCGTCATCTTCCCTCCACGCTGGGCTGTTCAGGATCATACCTTCCGCCCACCATACTACCATCGTCAGTATTAAGTATAAAGGCAAAGAGGTATAGGTAAAGTATGAAAGGAGAGCTGATATCAGATTGTAGCATGGAAAGTGGAAATGGCCTATTAGAGGCAGTACTGTACAGATATAATATACTGTAGATAAAACCTTTCTTTGGCACACAAGCAAACCGTATGACTGGTACTGCACTCAACTGCTTTCATATTCACAACTGTAAAGTAAGGCACTTATTCACAGTATGTGGATTGTGGGTGCCCTGGTCACAGACCAGTGACCCTTAGGACTTAAGGCAAATTGTCTCCTCGGTCATCACTACTAAATCCAAAATGTTCCTTTCCACATTGGGTTGTGCCAGATGTTGTGTGAGGAATAAATCTTGGATAAAGTCAAGAAATTCCTCTCTTTTAGCTTGTGTGGTAAGATTCACCCATTCTATCTTCACAAGATTAAAATTCCCCATGATTAGAGCTTATGATCTGGGTGCTGTCTGGATGACTCTTATGAAGGTCTGCTACTTCCCCCTCTGATGCAGTCAACCTATAGCGCACACTTACTGACAGCTTATTAATATTTTGTTATCAAATTACACCAAATTGTTATGAAGGATCCCATTTCATTTAGCTTCATTGCTGGTTACTGTAAGGTGTTCCTTGACACACAGTAACACACTTTCTCTGTTTATTTTTGTCTCCTCTGTACATGACAACATTCCTTTTGTATAATTGTTCACTGTTCCAAGAGTTCACAACCCTCACTGTCACAACATTCTCTGGCAGGGCAGGTTATTCCAAGAGTTTACAACCCTTACGGGCACAGTTTTAATAACTATCTTCTGTTGACAGGGATTGTAGTGTCAACAACCATAGTTTTAAATGCGAAGGACCTCGCACTGTAGTGCTCGAGAGAAAGGGGCTGCCACATTGCACAAAACCTGTCAAGCCTCTATAAATGCACTAGTGAAGGGGACTACTATACATTTAAAAAATTATTTATGTTTGCACAGCAATTATAAATAATTATTTTATGTGGCAGCCAAGGCATGGCCAGGTGCAAAAACTGAACAGAAAATGAATGAATAATTGAACACCAAAAATTTGGAAATTGTCAAATGTCAAAATATTCCGAATTCGGTTAATTAAAATTTTCCGGTAATTAGAGTAACCCAGAGACCCTTTCTTCCTCGAATTAACAAAGGTATAGTGTATTTGTGAAATGATGTATAACGTATACGGTAGCGAGGGCCCCTTGTACATACCAGGCACATCCTCTGGTGCACTGCTTGGTGTTAAACAAATTCAGGCCTAGGTGGCCACAACTATGGTAACTAACATAATGAAGTGTTAATTTTAACATTGTGTTGGTTTTCATACTCTGACAGTTATATAATAATTGATAATTGAACATACTGTATGTACTTTGATAATACAATACAGTGTATAGGATGTAAATTTTTAGTTGACTTCCTTTTATGCATCATCCAGGTAACTGTATGAGCGAGTTTATGGGTTTAATACTTGGGAAATATGAGGCGAAAGAAGAAGGTTTTCTGCCAGGCGGTGCCTCTCTACACTCCATGATGACACCCCACGGACCTGACGCTGATTGTTTTAATAGTGCTTCAACTGCCAAACTTACTCCAGTCAGAGTTGCTGATGGCACGCAAGTAAGATTTCAGTATAACACTGCTATGCTTCTTTTCATTGGAAACACCTACACTATAGGACGTCACTTTTAATAGTTTATTTGGCTAAATCCAGACAATTTTATTCAGCACAGAGACTCACATACACAAGGGGTTCATGAACTACAGTAACTCCTTCACTACAGGATGCCACTTTTAATAATTTATTTGGGTAACTGAAATTGCACCATCATCATCATAAGATGATTGGCATTTGGCGCCATGAATTTAAGGCTGTGCGCCAAAAATCATACTAAGAATGGAAAGTCGGGATTGGTAGTCACCATAGAGTGAGACACAAGACTAGTGGAGCCTCAAGTCAACTTGCTATCACCAAGGGTTTACCACCCACTTAGCACCACAAAAACCCACCACTGCACCACTACAATCATCTCCTGCATCACAACAACAACCAGTGCTCAGCTGTTGCCAGTTACTCTGTATCACTTCATATTCATAACTTGCCACCAATGATGAGTACCTGTACTAAGTTTTTATATCTTAAATTCATAAGATTTTTATTTTTAAATTTCAAATTTTTGTGACATACAGTTTAGGGTATCTTTGATTTTCCAATTGCCAGTTATTGAGTTAATAATAGTTATATTTGGGGTTCAATAATAACTCCATTTAGGTCAATAATGGGCACCTAAGTGGCTGTAGGAATAAATTCTTAATTTTCTGAAGATGAGCTGTCATTTTTATGGGGGGTCTGATCTCTAGAGCCATTGTTAAATACCTACAGCATCACTTTAGTCCCATAAAGGTCTTGATCAAAGGTCAGCTGTTATTAAAACTGTTGGTTTATTGGCAACAGCTGGGAGAAGAATTTCTGAAATTCACAATCATAGGTGGGATTATATCTTTGTCTCCTTCAGTCCTTCAATTGGGTTAAAATCTAGTTGTAAATTACTCCTTCTACCCAGTGTTAACTATTAAATCTTATTAAAATCTTTAAACAATATTTTAGTGTTTCAAGGATTAAGGTTTCACATACAATCAAGGACACAGTAGGGAAGAGTGCAATGTGCCATTAAACAATAAGGCTTCTAGAGGACACAGGCACACACAGGATGGTAGCACCCCTACAGTTCACTCTTTGGCCAAAAATGGGGTTTCTTACATCAAGAATTATTTTTTTTATATGTGTGTAATTATGTATTCATGTTGGTTCTATTAGTTTATTACTAAGCCTGTCTTAGTATTATTCACTAGCTTAAACTTATTTATTTTTTGCAGTCATTCATGTTCGAGACTTCTTTGGGATTAGGACTGACAGAGTGGGGTGAACACACCTGTCAAAAGATTGACGGTGACTACTTCAAGTGCTGGCAAGATATCAAGAAGAACTTTAATCCCAACTGGAAGCCGACCCCAAAGGAATAAATAGGAAATTACTCTGATACCAGTGATGTTATATCATGATAAAATGTAACATTATTGATAATACTGTACACCTTAATGGATTTAATGTATAATTTACCAAATTACAGTAGTAAGTTTCTTGGGAATTGAATAATACAGGTTCAATGTATGAAATCCAGGTGAGAGGAAATGGAGACCATACATTTTCACCACTCATTGTTTTTGGGGAAATTTTTACAAAAAAAAAATATATATATATATATATAGTATATATATATATATATCACGCGCACCTACAGTGATTTACTTGCATATATATATATATATATATATATATATATATATATATATATATATATATATATATATATATATATATATATATATATATATATATATATATATATATATATATATATATATATATTCAAGACCTCTGAAGATGCAATGCCCTCCTCTTTTCTCTGAGCTTCGTACTTGACTACTGAGAGTGCCATCCGCTGATTATCTCTCAACTTATCAGGGCCTGACTCCACCAGTTTTAAACACTTCCTCCAGCCTCTTGACTGCAAAATTTAACTGGATTCCAAGGCCATCAAAATATGGGTGCAAGCACTCGGTAGGTGATAATTAGATTGACCCAAAGCACTGACAATATCGAATTTGTAAGAAGAACCACAAATTTTGTTTTAGAAAAGTTATGTTCACCATATTTATGGTAGACACCTTTGAAGCTAAAGTTTTTGTTACTGTCATTGAAGTATTGTTCAGCTGTACTTTACTTTAGTTTGTGTAATAGACAGCTTAATTGTGACATTCAAGTTAAAGGTAAAGTTTTAATTTATCTTGAATATAATTAGTTTTTTTCCTGTTTAGAAAATTTGAATGCAATATGCAAATCTGTGATATACAGTAAACCCTCCAGGTTGGCAACTAATTAGTGCCAAAAAAACCTCGCCAAACTAGAGGGCTTAATCCAATTTGAAAAAGCCTAATTGATACCGAGGGGCCACCCAAAGTCTCAAATTTTTCTATTTTACCCACATATAACCAATATTTCATTGCTGAAAGAGAATGAATAATTAGATAATCAACATAAACATAGAAAACCAACTTTAAAATTAAAGTTGAGGAGCTTAATGTACACTAAGCTGGTATCCGAGACCTTTTAAATTTTCTTCCCAACTCGATACTCACAAGAATTTTTTGTCTTTACCCCATCATTTGAACCGCCTGGGCGCTCAGACGGTCTTTCACCACCATTATCATCCCCTCCAATACCCCAGGTACTTTTGAAGCCATTATTCCACGCGAGAGGAGTAAAAAAAGGGGAACAAAGGCCAAGGTCACTCAAACAAGCACTGGGAATGTGGAATGACGTGGTCAAAATGGCTGCCTGAACAGCTGACTGGCGCTTTGCACTCGGTAAATACTCGCCAGTAGTATTAAGCAAGATTTATCTTGCACTTATTATTACACAATTATTAGTTGTGATTGCATTTAAATTTAAACTCTCGCCAAAGGTGAGGGTTTGGTTGCCATAATGGAGGGCAGGGTACTTTGAATTTTGATCGCCAACTTCGAATTCGCCAAACAGAAAGTCGTCAAACTGGAGGGTTTACTGAATAGTCTTGTATATAATGCAATCAAGTGTGATAGATGGATGTCAAATGCCATTTTTGGTCTGAGTGAGTGAGTGTTAACTTGCGAACAAAAATATGAGTATTAGCTACATTATATTTAAATTATTGGTAATAGTGTATCTTTATTGTTTTGGGTAAAATATGTATACTGTATATAGGTTGTAGTTGGACCAATTTAGCATTTCAAAACTGGAATATATATCTGTTAAAGAATAGTTAATAAATTTGTGCATTTCTTTAATTCTGGAAGTATGTAATAATTTCATCCTTTGAAACTTTAAATAATTCTAATACATAATAGTTGAAATAAATGGGGATTTCTATTTTGAAATGCCATTTTATTACTGAGGATGGAGTGAATGACTTCCTGATTTAGGATGGGTGCTAATCCCTCTAATGAGAGCTTGCCTCAAGTTTGGGTATATTAGTGAGATACTGCCAAAATGGTTATTCTTCCAGCCATAGCCAGTTGTTCCAGTTAGTAAAGAATAGGGTTCATGAGTGAGCCTTTACATTTTAAATTAAAGAGTTACAGAGCGATGGGCTCGGTCCTTCACGTCCTTCCTAACATTCACTTCTCACTCCATTCAGGAAAAAGGATTCCTAGAAGATGAACCCCACTTCTAACTTCTTGTGTCATACCCTTAGAAGGGGGGAAGCCAAGTTATTACTCCATCCTCAATCACAAACTGGGGAATTTAATCCTGAAATCTCACTTCATGATCAAGAGCCAGCTCACAGCTCACTGATCCCCATGACAGACTCCCTTATTGATATGCACTAGATAGATCAGTATTTTTTTTTTTTTTTTTTTTACGGGGATTAGCTCACCCGGGCACAGGTCACTGACCCACATCAGGGCCTGGGAGGCGAAAATGTAATAATAATAATTAGGTATTCATATTAAATAAAATTTATAATAAAAATACAAACATAAAAATTAAACAATAATTTATAGTAAATAAAATTTGTAATACAAAATTAAAAACAAAATAACAATGATAACAATAATAATAATAACCACTAATAATAATAATAATAATAATAATAATAATAATAATAATAATGATAAAGGACCATAAAGAAATGAAAAAATGAAAAAATCAATAGTGAGAAACAATATATGTACAGTATGTTGTGTCGTCAAAGTAAGAGAAACAATTGAGACCCTGCAATTGTGTGTAAATGAGGCAGAAATTCAGATCAGCAACCTGAGACTTGGTCACAATTTTTGTGATGCCATATAGTAGCAGGGTCTCCCATTAGACAACACATTATGCTTCCAATATCTTCCCAGGCGGTAGTACCTCCCTGTTTGATAGCTGCCTACTACCTGCTACCTACAGGAATGTGTTGTGTGTATCACATACCTACAGTGTAGGTATTCAACTTAAGGAATATCTACATTCTGTAGCTTATCTGGAGTGTATTACATCAATATTATTCTCATCCAAGTGGGCTCAGGACAACATTCTATAAGTTAACGTGTCATGTGATGTAAAATATACAGTACATAGTTGAGGTCTGGCATGTTATGAATGCATACAAAAACATAAAAATATGTTAAGTATAAAATATGTGTTTGGTCAACATTCATACAATATTGTAAGGTTTGATTCACAATTATATCAGTAAATTGTTTGTAAAATCAGAGTACAGGAAGAAATGAACAGTTTACATATGAGTGAACCTGAAAATTCAGATATTTTATAAATGAAATTTCAGGAGTGCTGGATAGCAGTAGTAACCTGCATTCAGGGAACTGAGGCAACTTGTTTACTAACTCCCTTTGTATACAGGGGGACCCACTTAGTGCAGGAGATGCTTTCCTAAGGTACTCAGGTACACCTCAGACACCTATACAGTAAACACAATGTATTTTATCTTTAATACTCCTACACATATCAGGTTATTACAAATGATCTTCCTGAAAAAATAACAGGCACTGTGAAAAGCAAGATAGTGTACTGTACATACTGGTAATACAGTATAGGTAGTTCATCAATTAATATTTTAAATACAACACACAAGGGTGATGAGAAGGTTAAGCTTGAGACCTTATCAGTGAACTAAAAATATGTGTACAGTACTTTATGTATATTACTTTTTAAATTTAATTTTGATTAAAAAACATGTATTTCTTAAATAAAACTTGATACGTTGGTGTTGTACTCGTTTTCTGTTTAAAATGGCGGTCTTTTGGAAACATTTTGCCCTAAGGTGGACAACCTCTTATCCCAGACACCCCTTACCCCCAATTAGTCCACCTTAGCGAGGTTTTACTCATATATAAAGACACTTTTATCTTTGACCCCTGTGACCACCACCCGTGACCAACTTGGACTTGCCCAACCTTAGTTCATTCCCAAGTGACCCACTGCCACATAACAGCTAATCCATTAAACAGACTGCGCTGAACTTGGCCCGTAAATTCACACAAGTTAAAATGTTTATATTGTTGACTGTGTATACTTATTTCACTGTTACATTTCATAGTTACTAACTCCTAGGTAATGAAACAGTAACGAATTGTGTGTGAAGATTATTCTTTTAATAAGTATTGCTTTACTCACCATAAACTGGATGCATCTCAATCACTGTGGATAATATGTTAGTGCCTAAAAGAATGCATACATCAGAGATGGGAAATTAATTAAGAGATAGTAATTACAGATAACATAAAAAATATAACTAAATTTAAGGAATCCAAAGCTTCTGGAGTGGATGGAGAACAGACTCAGGTGATAAGTGGATAATAATATTTCCATACCACAAAGACACTTTTTCAGGAAACCCTTCCATCAAGGTAAAGCCCCATGGGACTGGAAATCAGCTACTGTCATCCCAGTATACAAGAAGGGTAGAAAAGTGCAACAGAAAATTACAGACGGATCCTCGACACCGGCTCCTACTACCACCTGAGATCCTTAGCCCGAGAATTGCTGTTCGACACCACAACCGCATCCAGCCCATACGTGAACAAACTGATCGCTATAGGAACAGCCCAGTCCCAACCATTGTAAAAATTATCAATAACTTGTAATAAACCAGTGTATTCACTCCCAGTAAATCCTACTTCTTGCACTGTCACTATGTTGAAATGCCCTGAAGTTTGAGCTTTTCCCCACCTAGTTATTATATATCTTAATTGTATCACTTATGTTACTTGTATATTATTTGTAAATCGAAACCCATTCCCCAATTATGTAACTGTATATTTTCAGCCTTCTGGCTGCTATGCTCTTTCAATAAACCGTTAATTATTATTATATGCGAACTCTTCGAGCACAGACTTATCAGCACATCACAATATGATTTCATGGTGAGAAATCCTACCTGATAAACTTCCTCACTTTCCTTGAAATAGTAACAGACTATGTGAACCAAGGTTTACTAGTGGATGTGTTGTACATGTACTTTCTAAGGCATCTGACAAAGTCCTACATACACAAATAGCCTTTAAGATCTAGGCACTTGGTATCACAGAAATTATTGAAGTGGATTAATAAATGGCTTAAAGACAGGCAACAAAAGTTGGTCATAAATGAAGTACATTCAGAATGGAAAAAGGTTCTCAGTGAAGTACCACAAGGATCTATCTTTGGAACCATCCTGTTTGTGATCTACATTAATGCCAAGATGTTGTCGCAACAATGCAGTAATATCTTCGTTAGCCGGAACAATTGGTGCAGAGCACTTCCGGGAATGAGAGATTTCTGGATAACGACACGTCTCTCAAAGTTGGAAAAAATCCCTCATCCCCGGAATTTTCCGGGTAACGGAAATATTTTCTTGGAAGTTCCAGAAATTGCCCATTACATCATCTCTCAAACCCAGAAAAATATCCCCCATCCCGGAATTCTCTGGGTACCATAGTTTTTGGAAAATGCGCCTGATTTTCATCTCTCAAACCCGGAAAAAAAAATCCCCCATCCCTGGAATTTTCCAAAATTTTTCGGGTATTGGGAAAATTTTCTTGGAAGTTCCGGAAAATCATTTCCAAAGCCAGAATTTTCCAAAAAATTATGGCTTTGAGAATGATTTTCCGAGAAAATTTCAATTCCGGATATCGGAGAGTTCCGGGTTTGAGGGATTCCGGCCAACGGAGATATTTCTGTATCTGCACGAGCTGTTCAAATGATCACAAGACTGGCAAATGCTCATTAACCCCAAGGCACCAAACTACAGTAAGGCATGTCTCCCCCATGCAGGTACTGTATGTTGGAGAAAATTTAAAAAACAACCGAAAAACAATTTTAATCTTCCAAACTGGTCACGCATGATATAAACAGTAAAAAAATACACGTATGGTACTTACCACAGGCTAGCATCACCAGGGCTAGGAAGTGTTGAGAATGCATGTGATGCAGTGGGGTGAGGTTGGAAGTACCTGGTAAACAACACTGATTTGTAAGCAGTATGAGGCACAGGACACTTGTTTTATTATGTAATTACTACTGTATTTACACTTCTAATTCGGTACAACTCCATCTAGTGCTTGGATTTGTGTTACCTGGGATGGGTAGAAAATTCCCATCTTGAAACCTTAAATGAGAAGGTTGGCAATGGATACAGTAGTTACTTATCACACAAATTTACTTATTCACAGGTGATGCACTGGTACTTTACCAGAGTGAGATATGAGCAACCTCTACACCCCATAGTTCATTCCCAACTTTTTCTATTCCCTTTTATCTACTCTTGCCCATGAACAACCATGGACAGACACAATCAACGATTTTTAGGCCTTCCTGTGGGATCATCATCACCTAAAGGTCCAACCACATTGCTGCTTGTGAGCAGTGTGCCTTGGACATTAAACATAACTATGGAAAGTTTAAGAATGAACAAGCACAAATTCAAAATAGGAACATGGAATGTGAGGACATTATATGAGGCTGGTAAGTACAGGTATGCAAATGTTTGTAGGGAAATGAAAAGATTGTAGTGGAACATTCTGGGATGAAGTGAAGTAAGATGGTCAGGTTCAAATAAGATTAGTGACAATGTTTATGTCATACAGTACTGTATATTCAGGTGGTGAAAAGCATGAGAGAGGTGTTGGTATTCTTGTAAACAAGAAGATGAGCATTAGTATAAAGGGATATTGGGCAGTGTCAGACAGCTTTGTTAGTCAAGTTCAATACTAAACCTACAGGCTTGGTAATAATACAGGATTATAAACCAACAAATTGTAGTGAAAATGAATGGCTGATTATAATGAGTGATACAGTGGTCCCTCGGTTAACGAGTTACCTTCCATAAGATTCTTAACTTCAGTTAACGAGCAATCCCTCGATTAACGAGTTTCTTACGAGCCGACCTCAACATGTTTTCGCTTGCATTTGGAGATCCATCAACTGTAGTATTACTGTAGTCCGCAAATACAGTAATCGGTTCTAGGGCTTATATTCCTTACCATTTTAGTAAATATCAAGAAGTTTATACTATTCAATAATTTTAAAAGTTTAATATTAAATTATTTAGTCATTTTAACAATTATTGAACATAATTGAAGGTAATGAAACTAGTTTTATGCACGCCATCCAGCCTGCCAACACAGCAAACAGGCGCCAGTCTCTCTGTCTTTTCAGTGGAGGTAACATCTTGCTTGAGACTCTCTTCAACTACAGGTAAATGCTTTTTTTCTGTGTTTGCAAGCAAATTATTGGTCATTTTGAAATTTATTTTACATATTGACAATATATAATGCAGTGCAGTGTTGACTTAAAGAAAATAATCTTGAATTACACCAGGAGAACTAAAATTTTATGGGTGAAATGGCACCATGGGGTGATTTCTCTTCCACCCCAATGCCTTCTCTTCTCCCTTCTCCTCCACCCCCATTTTAATTCCCATCATCATCATCATCCAGGCGCCTTCTACATACACACCTCAAAGTAAGTGTACTTTTCTACCTTTTTTGTTGAATTTAGGCAATTTTCAGTAAGCTGGAACCAATTACCCAAAAACCCATTGAAACAATGGTTTCAGTTAACGAGCAACCTTCTAGAACGGATTGTGCTCGTTAACCGAGGGACCACTGTATTAGCAAAAGTTTGGAAAGGGAAAGAAACACCGGAAGTAGGTCTACATTGATTGGGTAAGAAATAGATAATAATTTCAAATACCGTACATGGTTTGAACAACACCCTAGTCTTCTCTATACCCTGTTACATGGATCTCACCCCCCAGGACAATATAAATAACATAGTCAGGCATCAAATAGATTACAGTACATTTTAATTCAGGAAAGATTCAGAAATTCAATAATCCAAACCAATACTTCACTGGAAATGAATGTAAACATAGAACCAATTACTGTATTGGCGGACTAGCCGATCAGCTGATGCGCACAACAAAACGTGTTTGTCGTAAGGATTTCGTTAATCGAAGTTTTGCTCGTTAATCGAACTGAAAATCCTTATGGGAGCTAATTCGTTAACCAAAATTTCGTTATTCGAACCGTTCGTTAACCGAGGGATCACTGTATATATATATATATACAGTATATGTGTGTATATATATATACAGTATATATATGTGTGTATATATATATATACAGTATATATGTGTGTATATATATATATATATATATTTTTTTTTTTTATTTAATTTTTTTACGGGAATTAGCCCACCCAGTCACAGGTCAAATGACCCACAAAGGAGCCTAGGGGCAAAAAAATAAAAACAGAAAGAAATTAAGAAAGAAATTTGGGGGGATGAAAGAAATTTCCAAATTATAATTATAAATTACAGTAGTTTATTTACTATACAATTTCCTCTTCAATGTTCAACCTCAAACTTGAAACATTCAAATATTTCAAATCAAAGATGTGACACAACACAAGAAAATGAAAAGATATGGAGACAAAGGATATGATAAGCTTTCTGAATTAATTTACCCTTTATTTACTTAGAAACTTTAATACAGGTAATCTATTGATTATCTGTCTTCCCCCCCCCCCCAAACTCTGACCATTTTAACCAGATAAAAAAATAGTATAATTTGGCAACAATTGTCTGTAGTGTTTAATCTAGTTTGATGTTTGTGGTTCATTGCATTAATCCATTTATACTGATTAAAACTGCACCTAAGTTACCTGTGGCATCCCAAAAATAAAGTACAGCAGTGACTGGATGCAGGTAAAACTGTAAAATAATTCATGCATGAATACAGAATTAGAAACGACCACTATCTATGATTTAAAGACCAATAAGCAGCAGATATCAAAGTTTTACAGTGAAACTGATTCAAACACGGACAATGAGCAGAAAACCTTAAGTAAAAAATCCAATCAACAGTCAAATTCTCTTATGTCTGGCAGCCACCACTGCTTTACCATCTTACACACAATACTTTTCAGTGCTTCCACACACACACACAAACACGTATTATTGTAAAAACTGCAATAAAGTTTAGAAACATACTCTTGTACACACACATTGTACTGTACATTAGACATATTAACTAATACACTACAAGACCAACACCTACTGCCAACCTTGCAGACAAATGTATTTCTTGATGCAACCACCCACATATACCAAATAGCCTTATGTTAATTTCTTTCACATTACATGTGTATTATACTTCAGTTAGCTTTATATAAGTACAAGTACAGTCTTATATCATTTACAGTACTTGAAAATTATTTCATGTGTTACCTTTTATGATGGCAACAATTTATAATGTGACTGGTAACAAAAATATTGTACTGTACTGTGTATTATATACAGGGGGTTCCCAGGTTACGAACGGGTTCCTTTCCTGAGGATGTTCTTAAGTCAGATTTGTATGTAAGTCGGAACACATGCTATGTGCATACCGTACTTACAGAACGATGTTTAAAATCCCACTATATCATAGCCCAAGTCCTTATATACATCTAAAATCACTTAATTTAAGACACAAGATAAAATAGAATGACAAAATACAGTAAATGAGAGTAAAAAATAAGTCAAGTAAATAAAATACTGTACTGTAAATTTCAAGTTTAACCCCGTTCGTATCGGCGGGCATTCATAAGTCAGGGACCTCCTGTATACAGTATCTTTCTGGGGCCTGCATGCTCTAGAATTCAACATATAATATTTACTTTTTATTTTATTTGATATTTTGTATATTCTAGACCTATTATTACCCAAACTTGGAAAATTCTTAAATCTGGTCCCAGGCTTGAAGATAATCAATATATACTGTACAGTACTATCTATATATTAAAATGATTATTAAGCTTTCTACTTTGTTATATATACATTATTTAAATATAAAATTAACTCTGCTAATATTATTAGGTTATTTTTCTCCATATCACCAGTATATGAATTAAAATATTGATGTCTCACTCTATGTATATCTGTGTACAGTAGTTACTCAATAAATAATATGCTTAAAGTAAGTTATCTACAGTACATAATCCACCCAGGCCGTAGATGCAAATCATTCCAATTATTAGTACAGTATTACAAAAATCTTTTCATGATCAATTACCCAACATAAAATTTGTCTTGTATGGAGTTATTGAAGTGTCAAGTCTTTCATATTCTACTATACAAGTATAATCTCATCATTTCATAATGATCTAAATACAGTACAGAATAGTAACTGACCCTTTCCTATACAGCACAGGGTATATATAAAAAGTGAAGTACAGTACAAGTTATAAATATTGATCAATCCCATCTCTTATCAGGAAAGTGTGGGCATAAATGATAGAGTAACAAATAGCAATACACTCAAGAATATGAAATGGGCTGCCCATTGACGATTCAAGGAAGTACAGTTTTTGGAGCTCTGAGCCTGGAGGGTTTATGAGACGCAGTAGGAGTAACAAGTGTGCCTCTCCTTGGCAACTTACTGCTAACATGAGGTTCTGTTTCTGACTTACTCCAGACCTTATTCTTTATTACTGCATTTGCACTTGGAAGCATGGCATGGTGATTCACTAACACTGGTAATTTTAATCCTGCTGTAATCTGAGGTTTTGAAATTCCTTTATTTGGTATTCCTGATGATGACTGTTTACTCTGGCCTGTGGTAGAATTTGTGGTCTCCTTCAAAGGTGAGATGGATTTGGGCAAAACATTTTGAGGCACAGATGATATGATTTGGGGTTTCTTCACTGTATCTGTGCTCTGTTCACTGCCAGAGTCTCCATTTGAAAGTTTGAGATTAGATTTTACAGGAGCCTTCCTATTAGGCTTTAGAGGAACATTTTTAGAAGATAAGACAATCTTTGAGATTACAGACCGAGTAGTTGAAGATGTTTTACTGTCACAACTGGAAGGCCTCAGGACAGGTCGAGACGGTGGAATTTTCTGCGTCTGATGTGCAGAAACTCCATTTATAATCTGAGGTGAAATTTGCCTAGCTCTTACTGCAACACCTTTGCTATTATTTTCCTTATCACCCTCTTTTTCAAAGGTTCTGTTGACTGCTTGTACTGGCTTACTAACACTGCTCTTTCTTGATATGGAATTAGTCTTTTTAGCCATTTTTTCTCTCCCTGATTGTACACTCGCAATAGAAGAATTACTAGTGTTCTTTTTATCTGGAACATCTTTTGTGTCTACTCTTGACTGATGTGACTTCTTAACTTGGCCTAATTTATTGTTAAGTGTATTTAATTTTACTTTCTTGTTACTCTTATTCTTAACTGCAACATGTGAAACACTTGAGATACTCTGATCAGACATTGAACTGTTACGGTCTACAGTTTGCTGCTTACTTTTTACATAATTTTGTTTATTTGTTCCTTTACTTTTCTCAAAACTCTGTTCTGATTTTCTAGTGTTTTTCAGGTGTTCTCTTTTATTAATTTTGTTCTCTAGATTAGGTTTTACACCATCATGAGCACTGTTTGAATCTGTCACAATGACTTCTTCCTTGGAACAAACCAGCACATTATTACCATTTTCCACAAGTTGGCTCCCATCAACATCAATCTCTATTGACAATGTCTCACCAACACTGGTTGCCACTGGTAGCTTCTCATCGACACTGGCTGTGACGTTCATAGATTTAATTAACTTTGATTCTAAATGTGAAGTATTCTTATTGCCATTAACTTTACAAGCACCATTAACCTGCTTCTGGTTATCATCATAAGCTGATACCTCTTCATCATCTGACATCATCTTTTGCTCAACATTGATATTCTGGGTGTTAACTGTCAGTTCAGATTTTAACTGATGTTCACTTCCAAGGTCAGTGCCTAAATTTGGCTCTCCTTCACTAACACTCACACACATATGATGAGACTCAACTGTTTGTATTATATTCATGTTTGGAAATTTACTTATATTGCTCTTATTAGCAGTACCTTCATCCATTATATCTTGCTCTGAATTTTTAACATTTGCCTTTTCATAATAATATTCATCTTTACCATTTCCTTGTTCACCTGAGGCTCCAGTACCAGCTTCCCCACTGCCTTTGTCTTCTTCCTCCACTGAAAGAGCTTCATCATCTGGTCCTTCATAAATATTTGAGTCGAGACTATTTGCAGACTGCTTTACATTTTGGGGATTTTCTGATGAAATGCTCGGTATCTGAACTTGGAATTCTTTTGTCTTCTTGGCGTCTTCAGAAGACTCTTGGGAGAAACCTTGCCACGCTGGACTATCTGCTAAAATAACAAATAAGTGTTTCATATAGATGAAATGAACAAGCAACCAAAGCTTGATAAAACTAAAACCCAGGCACAAACATATAGTTTAAAGAAATTATTTACCTGTACTAGTACATTATATTTATTATGTGCAAGTAACCAGTTCCTATATAATTATATAAGTCATGATAAAAATATATATATATATATAGATAACTCTACACAACCTCTTTCAAGTGCTGTAGCAAGGAAACTTAGTTGATTCCGACATTTGTCACATCAACATTGTGCCTAGAACTGTCCAAGGAATATACCCTGCCATTTACTGCATGTACTTGAGAATCACCCTGTACATATTGAGGCATCGCAAAAAGTGATGTACTAAGTGCCAATTTAACATTTTCAGATATCGGCAATTAAAGATTTCATGTACGTGACCTATGGCATAGAAGGGGCATAAATGCTCTGCCTTGTGGAGATACGCATTCTTCATAATATAGTCGGCTGGTTTCCAAAAATCACCCAACACCATTTTGATGTTCTCCTATCTTCTCAAATCATCGCCACTTGCATAAACAGTATGTGACTCTTCGTGAGACACACTTGGCCAAGGTTCTGTTGCCTTTTGGCCTTATTTTTGAGCCAGTTCTTGGGGTTTCTAGAGCAGTTCTTAGTACCAGATGGTGAAACACTATGAGTGGTAAGTGTAGGTGAATTATCAACATTATTAATGGTAATAAATAAATAAATAAATAAATAAATAAATAAATAAAGGAGAGAAGAAGACCACATAAACAATATTGAAAATAAGTCGCTGAAGTCTGGTGTAGTGTTGTTTTGAATATCATGCATAACAGTGCAGCGTTGAGGAGGTAGCATCGCCCACCCACCTCATCCAAACATTTCCAGCCAGTCAAAATTCAATTACAAGTTTTCTGCCTTGGCAACAACAACTAGTGCTGCTCGATGGATTATTTTTTAACCCAACTTTAAAAAAAACAAACCATCACCATACCTGGAAAATGTCCTCCAAGTAATGCTGCTGGAACTGTAGCCTAGAAATCCCATCATTCAATTCATTTAAACACGAAAATTTATGTGATATGGAATGAGGAGTGTGTAGTGGATGTCAGTCATGCTTTAAGTTTATCTCCTATCAGTGAGAACAATCATTAAAAAACAAAATTAGCTTTGAAGAGGTTGAGAAACTGCTGGAGTACCAAGAGGAAGACTTAACAAACAAGGAACTGATGGAGCTTCAACAGGAAACAGCACTTGAATATGAAGAACCTGAACAACTACTACTTTGCTATCACTCAGAATCGAGTATGACGATCATCCAGCTGTGATATGAGTTATTAAGCATGTCAACTAGGATGGTGAGTTTTAAGATGACGAAAGAGGCTGATACGGAACCGGCAGTCATTCACAGATGTTGGACATGTGGATGGCTCCATCTAGTGTGGGAGGGGCGGCGACAACGTCTTTCCAGCGCTGGAGCTTGTCTGCCTCGGTCTGCAGTAGGGCTAACTCGAAAGTATTGAACATCTTTTCGTGTGGTGATCCTCCTCGCGTTACGGTGTGGAGTAATCGTCTCCCAGGTGAGGAGTTGATTTGTCACTCTTTCAGGTTTGTCTTAAGACTATCCTTATACCTCTTCAGTAGCCCACCAGCGTTACATTTACTATTCATTAGGTGACTGTAAAGTTGCTGCTTTGGCAGTCTACTGTTGTCTGTGCGGGTAACATGGACAGTCCAACGTAGTTGTTCATGGATAATGGTAGCCTCAATGCTCCTACAGTTGGTGTCAGCGATAGTACTGGTATTTGTTCCCTTGTATTCCCAGTGAACTCGGAGGATGGAACGCAGACTACGTTGATGAAAGTTTTCAATTGCCTTGAGGTGCCTCCTGTATGTAACCCATGTCTCACTGCCATATAGCAGGGTGGGGAGGACCACTGCTTGATATACGTGTAACTTTGTAGATAATTTCAGCTCCCTACAGCAGAAGACACGGGTATGGAGTCTGCCAAAGACTTGAGATGCACATCTGATCCTATGTTGAATATCTTCATCGATGTCTGCGGTGGTGGACAGGAGGGAGCCGAGATACTGAAAGTGGGTAACATTAGAGAGGGAAGTACCATAAAACTGGATGGATGATGGAGGTGTGGCTGAAGCAGGGGCAGGTTGAAAGAGATTCTGGTCTTACACATATTCACCTCAAGGCCAAAGTGTGCATACTCATCTGCATAGGTGTTCATGATCTCCTGTAGGTCACGTTCAGTGTGAGTGACAAGGGTGAGGTCATCTGCATACTGAAGTTCAGTAATGGAAGCTGCAGATGCATTTGTTCCTGCCTGGAGTTGTTTTATTTTGAAAAGGTCCTTCATCAGGTACTCTATGTCCACCCTGCTAGCTAAATTGGCACAAGCAAGAGTAAGGAAAGCAGCCAAGATAATGGAAAAGAGAGTTGGTGCCAATACACATCCTTGTTTTACCCTCGTTTGGAAGTGGAAAAACACAGACTGGGTGCCATTGTGCAGGACACTGCCATTTATGCCGTCATGGAGTTGCCTCACAATGGCGATGAAATTTGGTAGCCGGTTTGGCTGCCCAAACCGGCTGAGGGTCCACCAGAGGGTTTCCCTGTTGACCCAGTCTAGGACCTTGGTTAGGTCGATGAAAGCCATGTACAAGTCACGACGCTGTTCTCTGCACTTTTCCTGTATCTGATGGGAAACAAAGATCATGTCAGTGGTGCCACTTGATGGTCTAAAGCCACATTGAGATTCAGGGAGGAAGTTTTCCTCCTCAGGAAGAGGTCTGTTAAGGAAAACTTGGCGATAATCTTGCCAGCTATGGACAGCAGAAAGATCCCGCGGTAGTTGCCACGGTCTGACCAGACCCCCTTGTTCTTATAAATATTGACGGTGGAGGCGTCATTAAGAGCTTAGGGAATTTCCTCCTTTTCCCATATATTTTCCAGGAGAGAGTGGAGACGCCTGGTAAGCAGAGATCCTCCTGCTTTATATACCTCGGCTGGGATTCCATCAGGCCATGAGACTTTGTTATTTTTCATCTGTTTGATGGCAGTAGTTACTTCATCCAGGGATAGAGGATAGCTGAGGTTGGGTCAGCTCTGGATGCTCAGAAACCTGCTGGGTAGTCAGGACATCCACATCGGTGTTTAAGTTGAGCGCAAATGGTAGTGCTCTTTCCAGCACTGACAGAGGCATTCTTCATCTTTAATTAGGGAGTTACCGTCAGATGAGTGGAAAGGGGCTATGAGCGAATTAAAAAATTCGTGCATCTTGTATTAATCTGCAAGTTCTTGCGTTTCACATGCTTTATTTTTAAACCAGTCGTTCTTTAGTTTGCGGAGTTTTCGCTGGGCCGCCACGTTCTCCTTGCAGAAGGTATCAGCTTTGGTCCTAGACTGTGGGTTGTTCTGCCAGTCAGTTAAAGCAGCACATTTATCATCGATGAGCACATTGATTTCAGGTCATTTTCATCAAACCAGTCCTGGTGTATTCTTTCGAGCTGGCCGAGGATCTCTGCAGGTTTTTGTCATGACAGTGTCGAGAATATCCCATTCGGCACTGGGATTTGGGTTGTTTATCAGCCCATGTTCGAGCTGCTCTCTGAAATCATGTGCTACCGCTGGATCCTCCAGACGCTTAGTGCTAAAACCTCTTTTGGAGGCTTGTTGCCTTCGCTGTTTTGGGGCGATGTGAAGTGAGAGCTTGGCTCTGACGAGCTGATGATCAGTGTCGCAGTGGTCTGAGACACGCATTGCTCGGGTGATGAGGACAACTACTGCCTCCGTGACAAGTGACCACAAAAATCATGTCAGAAGTATTCAAGCTACAGGGTCGTGTACAAGCTTGAAGAAAATACAAGCTGTCCAGACAAGCACCAACAGCTACTTTAAGCCTCGGACACCAACACTTGAACCCCGTCAGTTATCCTCAGCTGAACCTAATTCATCCAGAGCACCAATTTCATCAAATAAATCAGTGTCATTCATTAGCTTGCATATCTTTTGTACACGAGAAAATGAAAAATCAGTCAATTACATAGTTTTCATAATCTTTCATGCCTGAGAGGCTTAAAGATGAGTCTATATCGTTCGTAATGTCATTCATGTTGTTTTTATCTTTCGTACAGGACAGGCAAAAGAAGTCTGTCATTAATGCTATTTTCGTGTCTCTCAAACAGGATGTGTGGAGTCTGGGGAGAATTAGGCTGGGGATGAGATGGTGCCTGGGAAGACAGAGGCAGGGAAGGAGAGTAACCTTGATAGTTACATTACAGAGGAAAGAGATATGTCTTTGGACATACTGTACCTACAGCATGCCCTTCAAATTCGCAGGGGTTAGGTTCTCAAAATCCATGAATAACATTGGCTGACCCGGGGTGTGTGTGTGTGTTATTGTTGTTGTTACATTTAGGGCAATTATTTCTTTTACCTGTATTGTATATACTGTACCTGTATATATGTATGTGTGTGTGTGGGTAGACACACACACACAAAATAAATACAAGTAAATAATAATGGGAAAATCCTCTCACAAATAATAAGAAACAAATGTAGTATGTATTAACAATGTTGAGTTTACCCTCAAATCTACTCCATGCTTTATTAATAACGAAGCACGGAGTAGACTCAACATTTTTAATACTACATTTGTTTCTTATTATTTGTGAGAGGATTTTCCCATTATTATTTACTTGTATGTGTTTTGTGTGTGTCTACACACACATATATACAATACAGATACAGTGGTCCCTCGGTTAACGAGCGCCTCGGTTAACGAGATTTCGGTTAACGAGCTGCCTCCCATAAGATTCTTAAATTCGGTTAACGAGCAACCCCTCGGTTAACGAGTTTCTTACAAGCCGACCTCAACATGTTTTCGCTTGCACTGGCCGGTCAACCAGCTGTAGTATTAGTCCGCCAATACATAAATCGGCTCTAGGGCTTAAATTCCTTACTATTTTAGTATATATCAAGAAGTTTATACTATTCAATAATTTTAAAAGTTGAATATTCAATTCTTTGGTCATTTTAACAATTATTGAACATAATTGAAGGTAAAGTGACTAGTTTAATGCGCGGCATTCAGCCTCTTAACACAGCAAACAGGCGTCAGTCTCTCTCTGTTTTCACTGGAGGTAACATCTTGCTTGAGACTCTCTTCAACTAAATGCTTTTTTTTCTGTGTTTCCAAGCAAATTATTGGTCATTTTGAAATTTATTTTACATATTGACAATATATAGTGCAGTGTAATGTTATTTTAAAGAAAATATTCTTTATTTACAACAAATTTAACTTTGAAAAGCACGTGTTGACATTGTTTGAATCCAGCATGGGGCCTAAGAGATCAAGAAAAGCTATTTCAATCCAAACCAAGCAGGAAATCATAAAAAAACATAAACAAGGCATTAGAACAAATGCGCTATGCAAAGAATATGGCATGTCGACATCAACTGTGTCGACAATTCTGCACAGAAAGACAAATTTAAAGAAGTGAAAGTGCGAGACAAATCTACAAGAGTGTTTAAAAGTAGATCCCTAATCGCAGAAACTGAGAGGTTACTTATCATCTGGATTAGGGAAAAACAGATGAAAGGTGATTCAGTTTCTACTGAATTCATTTGTGAAAGAGCCAGGGAGACTTACGAACATTTAAAGGCAGATCAACCTGGTTCTTCAGGCACAGAATTTGAAGATTTTCGGGCCAGCAAAGGCTGGTTCGAAAAATTTAAGAAAAGAAGTGACATTTTCAGTGTTGTTAGGCATGGTGAAGCTGCTAGTGCTGATAAAGAAGGGGCAGCAAAGTTTTTAGATGAATTTAAAAAACTGATGGAAGAAGAAAATTATCTTCCACAGCAAGTGTTCAATGTGGACAAAACTGGGCTGTTCTGGAAAAAGATGCCCAAAAGAACATTCATCACCAGAGATGAAGCCTCTTTACCTGGGCATAAACCCATGAAAGACCGTCTCACTCTATTGCTTGGTGCCAATGCTTCAGGGGATTTCATACTGAAGCCTATGCTTGTCTATCACTCTGAAAACCCCAGGGTGTTCAAGCAACAGAAAGTGGTAAGAACAAAGCTTGGAGTTTATTGGAAGTCCAACTGTAAGGCATGGGTGACAAGACAGCTCTTTAATGAATGGGCTGTTGATGTGTTTTGCCCTTCTGTCAAGAGCTACCTAACCACCAATAAACTCCCTTTAAAGGCTCTTCTCCTCATGGATAATGCTCCTGGTCATGACCCTGACCTTGCCAGAAATTTGGAGTATCAATTTGACTTTGTGAAAGTGTTGTTTTTGCCTCCAAACACTACATCAATCATACAGCCAATGGACCAGAATGTAATCAGCAACTTCAAGAAGTTGTACATGAAGAAAATGTTTAGGAGGTGTCATCAGGCAATTCCCAATGATCCTGAACTAACACTGAAACATTTCTGGAAGACACAATTCAACATCCTGGAGGCTGTAAAATTGATTGTGTCATCATGGCAAGAAGTCTCCACTAGATCCCTCAATTCTTCATGGAAAGCACTGTGGCCATCAGCAGTCCATGATTTTGAGGGATTTGAGGAAGAAACAAAGTTGGACCAGGAGATTGTGTCCATTGGTCAGTCATTGAGCCTTGAAGTGGAGGAGGAGGATGTGGAAGAGCTTGTGATGTCTCATGAGGAGGAACTTACTCCTGATGACTTGAAGCAACTGGATGAGATGTTACAGGTAGAGGATGACAGTGGTGAGGAGGAAATTGAAAGTGATGACCATATGTCAGCTAAACAGTTGAAAGATGTGATTTACTACTGGGAGAAGCTCAGGGAACTGGCTTCAAAGCACCCAGAAGTGGAAAAAACTGAACTAACTTTGTGTCATGTTGAGGACTCAGTGGTCTCCTTCTTTAAACATAAGTTAATGGTGAGGAGGACAGATGCCCCACAGACCACAATTGACACTTTCTTCAGTAAAAGGCAGAGGGAACAAGATGCTATCCCTCAGCCTTCCACTTCAAGAAGGAGAGAGGATGTTCATGGTGGAGAATCTGTCAGTCCAGAGGTTCCTGACATTTTCATGGAAGGTGACTCACCTTCCAAGAAGCAGTAAAATGCTTCTCCTCCACCTCCACTTCCTTCTCTTCTCCCTTCTCCTCCTCCACCTCCCACTTCAAATGCACATCATCATCATCATCCAGGAGCCTTCTACATACACACCTCAAAGTAAGTGAACTTTTCTACCATTTTTGTTGAATTTAGGCAATTTTCGGTGAGCTGGAACCAATTACCCAAAAACCCATTGAAACAATGGTTTCGGTTAACGAGCAACCTGCTGGAATGGATTGTGCTCGTTAACCGAGGGACCACTGTAAAGGAAATTACTGTCTCTATAACGAATGGCTCCCTGTCCTGGCCGCGAAAATGTAGGCAACTTTAAAACTACCCACAGACAATCTTAGGTATATCCAAGGTGTCACCCGCGAATAATAGAAAACAGCAAAATAAAAATCCGCAAATTATTCGGGCATATTGTACTTGGTTAGTTAAAGTCTGAGCTTTTTTGTTTTAATTATTTAGGTGATGCTTATTAAAGAAAGATAGAGTAAGAATAATTATGGTATTCCCAAGTTCATCATTAAATTTTAATTTTGTTATTTTTAATAAGTGACTACTAGTGGCTTGGCGGTGGTCTGGTGGCCACTCACGAATGATGTCATGGCTTCAGTCAGCTGGGAGGGCCTCTGTCACTATTCAGGAAGCTCACCATTCAGTGATATATTTCTATATTACTTATTTAATAAATGTTTATTCAGACATCATTCATTTACAGCCTGTTTAAACTTTAGTATGCTCTTATAACACAAAGTTATTAGTTTACTCTAGTTCGTGCTAATGAGAGGCTCCACTATATGAAGTTCACTGAAAAGGTTAGGGTTAAGGTGACTGAAAATGTGCCCTGGGAATACAGTGCCTCAATAACATCTTTCTGAACAACATAGTACTTTTAGGGAATGCATCTACAATGGAATTATCAGAAACTTGCTGTATAGTCAATTCTCAACCGCCTCAAAATGCTTTTGGCTGTATTACTTTACTTCTTAATGATACTTTTTTCTAAGCTAAAATTGTGCCTTTTTCGGTGATTTATTTCTGTTCACCCAAAATCTACCCTTCATAAAATCATGGCTCCAGCCATGTTTGTGGATTTACTTCACTGGAGGACTCCAGATTATAAAAAGTCTTGAAGTCTGCAAGTCTCAGAAGTCACCCCCCACCTTCAATCACGCCAAATCTTTACCAATGCAGTTAGAGAAACCCTAAAAGAACATAGTGTATCTCTGATGGGTTCTTCCTTCCAGGACTTTTAAGACCACCAATATTTATTTCCTGGTGCAAGAATAAATTATTTAGTTTAAAATACATAGAGAAACTTACCAATATTTTGGTCTTCAGGCAAAGAAGCAGTGCTAGCAATGCTGACCATCCGTAACCGTGAAGAAGGAGCAGATATAGGGGTGGGTGCTGGTCCATCCATTCCTACAACACAGGAGAATGGTGCACCTTTCATTGCTGGTGTGCTTGTAATGCGTGGTCCACTACTGGGACCTTCGGATCTGAAATGATGTTGATAGTTTTAAAAAAAATTACAGAACAGTACACTGGAGTTACGATAATTTGTGTTCATAAATGCACAGGTAACCCTATTAATACCTCTTTATTTAAATTTTACGGTCAAATATTCATAAATCACGGCCATGCACCGACTGCAGCAGTGTTTGTTTACGTAAGAAACTATAAAGGTTGTGGCAATATAATTTCAAACATTTGATTTGATATACAGTAGAATAAAGAAAATTTAATAACCCACACGAAATTATGAGAAGGAAAGAAGTTGTTTATGTAATATATAGAACTACTTTTTATACAATAACTACCTATGTGTTACTGTATTTCTTTATTTTATAAACAATGTTTATTGTTTATTAAAGCAATTTTGGAACAGATTATGGATATTTCTTGACCTCTGGAACCAAACTACACTAATTACTTGCATTTAAAATAATTAAATTGTAATTATTATCACAGCACGCTCTCTCAGTCTCCATCACGGTAACACCTGCAGCTCAGCTATATTGGCACTTTTTGGTGACCCTTTGTCCTCAGTGATGCCTCCGAAGCAGACAATGAGTGGCATGAGCGGATCAAGAGTAGAGGCAGAAGAAAGTGATGAGTTTAAGGAAAAAAATGGAGTTGCTTGATCTCCTTGCTAGGGGTGAGTGCGGTGGGTGTGGAATGCTATTATGGTGTTAACAAATCAACTGTGCACTCAACCAGGTAGTAGGCAGCTACCAAACAGGGAGGTACTACCACCTGGGAAGATATTGGAAGCATAATGTATTGTCTAATGGTAGACCCTGCTGCCATGTGGCATCACAAAAATTGTGACCAAGTCCCAGGTTGCTGATCTGACTTTCTGACTCATTTACACGCAATTGCAGGGTCTCAATTGTTACTCTTACTATTGGCAACACAACATACATACTGTATCGTTTCTCACTCTTGATTTATTTTTTCGTTTTTGTATTTATTTATGGTTATTATTATTACTACCTGCATTATTTTTTTTTAATTTTTATTAAGTATTATTATTATTATATTTTTGTCCCCCCCCCCCAGGCCCTGATGTGGGTCAGTGACCTAATCCCAGTTAAAAAAATAAAATAAAAACAAAAAATCTAGAGAAATGAGGCAAATATTCATGCAAGTGTCTCTTTAAGTGCCCCAAAAAGTGCTTAAGTAACCTTTCAAACCTGTGACACTAACATGGAAAAAATGGACAGACGACCAATCACAGAAAAAGTTCCTCTCATCAGCATCATTTTCATTGGTGACTGCGGTACATTACTATGTTTTTACATACGGGTATGTATTATTTAATGTAATTAACATGTACAGTCTCGTTCAAGATTCTTCGAACACTGCTGGAGACAGCTGGCAACTCAAGGCCGTTTGTTTACTATAGTACGTAGTAAAAATTATGAATGAATGTAAAGTGATCAGTGATTGGTTACTTAGTTCCCCGTTGCTTAATTAATGGTTGGGCTTTGTTGTTTCGCATTATGTTATGCCTTTCTGCAAGTATATACTGTTAATTTGATTTTAAAATGGATAGAGCAATGAGCCAACCTATATGAATATACATTTAGATAAATAAACATAAGTAAAAATCGGTAAGTATGTTAAAGAACATCATGCATCGGGCACAGCTGTGTGCAGGCTGTTTATGAGGTTGCCTGTTTATCATTAATTTATACTAATATTGTCTTCAAACGTTTAATCCCTTTTGGGTAATTAATCCAGTTGTACTAAACCGATGCTAAACAAAACTTCTTTCTAAAGACGCTGATTTCTTGCAACACAAACTGATGTTCTATGGTGAATGCCTCCTTCGTGAAGTCTTCGCCTCATTGTTAAAGGGAAAATATTTAATTGTAGATCCTCTCTTATTGAAAATGAAGTCTTGAAGGGGTTGGCCTCAGCGAAATTCCGGATGGCTTCAACTTGTGCAAGTGTTGTTCTGCGCGGCATTTCCGTCCTGTGGTGGTTCTTTAAACTTCCCTCCTCTTCCCATTGCTTAATCCAATAATATACAGTTGACCGAGAAAAACCCAATTCTCGGGCAATTTCAGTGGGTGAAAACCCAGCCTCTTTCATGCCGATTATTCTTCCACGTTCAGTGATTTTCTGCGTGTGGTATTCCATGTTGGCAGGGTCCTTCTACAATTGAGGGAGTGGAAGGGTAGTCAGCACTGACAACACCTGTCTCCCCCACCTTCCCGCCAATAACGTCAGCGTTATATTTATATTTATTATGCATTTATAAGAAATAAACGAATAAATAAATAAATAAGATACAAATTTATAATACATCATACACATTTTTGGAAAAAAATAAACATTTTTTTTAAAGACACCAGACCAAACGTGACGTAATCGACACAAGTCAGAAACAAGGATTTAGGAGGGGGGGGGAAAATGTATTTGCAATATTATTTGCTTGAATGACAAATATTGCTAGATAATGGCTTGTAAAAGTATTAGGCATATGCTACAGTACTAATTCACACCATCAGACGGATGGTTCGTAAGATTAATTACCATCACCTTCAATTGAACAACGTCATTATTAAATACAGACACAGACTGACACACACACACACACACACACTCCACATGCGCACACGCACACACAGGGAAGTAAAACAGCAGTTTGTGTTGCAAGAAATCAGCGTCTTTAGAAAGAAGTTTTGTTTAGCATCGGTTAGATACAACTGGATTAATTACCCGAAAGGGATTAAACGTTTGAAGACAATATTAGTATAAATTAATGATAAACAGGCAACCTCATAAACAGCCTGCACACAGCTGTGCCCGATGCATGATGTTCTTTAACATACTTACCGATTTTTACTTATGTTTATTTATCTAAATGTATATTCATATAGGTTGGCTCATTGCTCTATCCATTTTAAAATCAAATTAACAGTATATACTTGCAGAAAGGCATAACATAATGCGAAACAACAAAGCCCAACCATTAATTAAGCAACGGGGAACTAAGTAACCAATCACTGATCACTTTACATTCATAATTTTTACTACATACAGTACTATAGTAAACAAACGGCCTTGAGTTGCCAGCTGTCTCCAGCAGTGTTCGAAGAATCTTCAACGTGACTGTACAATATTACCCATAAAGGGTACCTCTTTGAGGGTGTGGATCCCTTAACCCCATTTTTTCCATAAGGTCTTAAGTTTAACATTTGCAGGGTTTTTAGTAAATATAACATGAAAACATTTGGAATGGAGGACTATAGTTGCCAATCCTCAGTCATAAGGACAGCAGCCTTAATGATTATTGATGGTGAAGTTAATCAGTGGATGACCAAAGCCTTCATATAAAAAATTTCATACCAAATAAACTCACCGGTAGTTGTCTGGTGTAGACATACCAATTCCAGTTATCACGCCAATGTCTGGAGTTCCTGGACGTTCATTTTCTGCAAAAAATAAAATAAATAAATAAATAAAAAAATAAAATAAATAAATAAATAAAAATAAATAAATATATAAGAACATAAGGAGTCTGCAATAGGCCGGTTGGCCTGTGCATGGCCATATGAATAATTACTGTCAATACTATAAATGGAGAGACAAAAATTCAAAACTGCTGAGACCATTAAGCAATACCTGTAACTCCTTCCAAAAGTCATAGACAATATTTGTTATGTCTTAGAAAAAAGTGCCCTATGACAGAACAATAGATTAAAAACATGAAAATAAGGTAAAACTGGCATACTAAAACTGCTGCAGTCCAGTAAACAAGGTGTCAACCATTGATTACAAGAGATATAGAGCCAACAGAAGTTAATCCATCTGAGTGAGCTTACACTATATTTTTATCAAGTTGATTAGGGTTTATTTGCTTTATGTCATGTTTAGGGTTACCATACGTCCGGATTTTCTCGGACATGTCCTCCATTTTGGTCCTTAAATCTCTGTCTGGGGGGAATTTTCAAATATCTAAAAATCTCTGGGATTTCGTCCTTATTATCTTGTAAAGAAGAATTAATATTTTATAAGAAAGTGAATGACATCAGACACGGAATTTCGATTATGAGACTTGTCTAGTTTGCTATGTCATTCGTCCAGTTTTCGTCTTGGATGGGTGTGATCGTGTCCAGCGTTACCATTTTAGCGGTTTTGTGGCTAATGAAGCGATATTTACTTACATAGCAAATACTAGCCTATAAACATCATATATTTATCAAGTTTGACTGATGTTCTAATATAATATGATTTTCGGGAGAATGTAGATCATATCGACATTCTAGCAATTTTTTTAATCAAAACTAGCAACATTAGATTGCCAAATCCGGTATGAAATTATGTGCCAAATGTTCAGTCAGTGACTCAGTGTCTTTTCAGACGGTACTATGTACAGAGGCATTCCTTCCAAAGCTGTTTATTTCATTTCTCACTTTTTAATCCTCAAGCACAATGCCAAAATGAAAGTGTAAATTCACGGCAGAAATGGAAAGTAAATTCCCATGTTTTCGAAGTGGCAGAGAAGATTGGGAAGCTGACTGTTTGGTATGTAAACCTGGTACTTACATCTTAAAGAAGTTGTTGCATATATGATCATAAATTGGCATGGGTTGCCCAGCACACATTTTGAACAAATGTGTTCATCATGTAGTGGAGAGAATGGACACTGATATTGAGAACATTATGTTTACAGATTTACCAGTACAGTACTTTCATTTATACACTGTTCTTACCGAACTGCTGAAGGAATACTGTGAATTTGTAGAAGCTGAATACAGAAAGCTGTCATTACTTCCAGGCAATGCTAGGTTCATACAGATGTTTACAGCCTTGAAGTCTTTCTTTCTGCCACAGGACAAACCACCCACAGGTTTAAAGAAATTTTTTGAGTAAAAATTGAGTGATACTTACCTATGGTAAATGCATTCTCTTGTGAGTGTTTTCCAAAGCCACATCCATACCATTGAAAGAGAAAGCAATTCTGTTGTTGAAGCGTTGAATAATTTGAACTCTAATCACACCATCCTCTTTGAATGAAAGACTCAGAGTTTCAAGTCCTTGAAAATGAAGAGACTTCCGACACAGAAGCATATGGAAGGAATGGATGATGAGTGACAAATTCTGTGATGAAGTAGATAATCTGTACAGTAGGTACTTAGAGTATTTTGATAAATGGATTAAACCCCTGGAAGTTTTAAATGGATGACCCTGAGTGAAACACCGAACTGGACTGATGTGGAATTATGTATCAAATATCCGATTGATAAGGGAGTACCAATTGATGACGTGAAATGCTTTGATCAAGTTAGCAATCTGAAGAAATTTACAGAAAGTCACAAGAGTGATGAAGAATTCACTTCGTTGCTAGCACATCAAAAGTGGACCAAATATTTTGAAAAGTCCAAAATCATTGATTGTCATTCAGAGCTGTTGAAACTTACGCAGTTTTTCTTTGCTATACCTGCACATAGTGCAAATGTAGAGAGGATTTTTTCACTAAAACAAAGCTAGTGGACAAAGGAGAGAAAAAAGTTGACAGTTGAGTCACTAAAAGGACTTCTGCTTGTACAGTACAACTTCAGAGAAATTTCCTGTAAAGATATCCATGCCTTCTTAATGAGCAATCAACCACTGCTGAGTATGATGCGATCTACAGAGAAATATGCGTGGACGCATAAAGGAAAAGAAAATTAATGTTCAATCTGCACTAAACATAAGGTAAGCTACAGAAAAATTTGAGTAATTACTATATATTAATGTTTTCAGCCACAAAATTTCTAAAATATCGATAGGCCTACATGATATAAATGTACTAGTGCACCATACATAAATGATTCAACGTGGGATATTTTGCCCCTCTCCCCCCACCCACCAACCCCCGACTCCCACCAAGAACATAGGAAAATTCTTCAGGTTGTCCTCTTTTTTGATGTTCAAATATGGTAACCCTAGTTATGTTAAAAAAAAATTATAGGACCAAGTCACTTTCAGTATGCATTTATCACCTTAATTTTATAAGTTTTCGCTCTTTCTATGTTGTTCTTGCAAGGTAAATTTTCTTTCAATCAAAGCAATAACAACATTATAAAGGTGGCTGATTTTTGGTTTGAATGTTCTACTAATTTGATGTGCACCAATAAACTGAACACTACAATTCTTTAAGCACATCACAATATATTTCACACGCACGCACAGAACTTTTTCAATAAGCCGTTAATTATTATTATTATTATCACACACACACACACACAAAATAATAATGTAAAGTACATACCAATGCTACTAACAGAACCAAATGAAGGAGCAACATGGCTCCCAGCATCACAGGTGCCTGGAGTTCTATGGTTCACACCCTTCACATCTTCTAAACCATCTGCAAACATCACCATTGTTTTGATATGTATATATACAAAAACGTTGAAACAAATATTCAATAAGTGCATTAAAAGTTTTTATATGAACGATAGTGGAAGTGATGAGGGGTTTAAATACAAGAGTTGGAGACAGGGAACTGGTGGGGATTGTTGAGTTGCCAGGAATGAATGGATATGGAGGAAGACTGATAGAACTTTGCACCAAAAGAAGGATAATACCATAGTGGTAATGAATGGCTGAACATAAGAACAACCATGAATTTCCCCCTTTACAGCACCTAATCTGGTAATCCTTGAAACTGCCAATAGATAAGGATATCCCAACCAGTGTTCCCAGTTTCTCTCAACTCTGACATGTTGGTCTCCACTTGTCCAAAATTGGCAACACTCCTGTGCTCAGAGAAGAGTTACTAGTACACTAAATTAAAGGTATAATTATTTGATGTGAACATATACTGTATACAGCTCCTCCCCGACTTACGACCTACTCGACTTACGACCACCCGCACTTACGACCTGCCTCAGTCGTACCAAAATTTGGTCAAATTATGTATTTTCGAGTCCCAAAGTCAGTACACAGACAAAATTTTCGTTTGTAATTCACTTTAAAATGGCTGGCAAGCTTAAAAGTGAGAGTTTTGTGGTGCTGAGAAGAAAAAGAGACACCCATTTTAGATGAATGGAGCAGCTGGTCACATCTATCACATCATTTTTTTGGTGCAATCAGTCAGTTTCCCCACGCGCCAAGCAACACACTGTTATGGTCTCCCAGGATTTTTTGTATTCTCCCAGTGTGTGTGTGTGTGTGTGTGTGTGTGTGTGTGTGTGTGTGTGTGTGTGTGTGTGTGTGTGTGTGTATATCTTTGTCACCAAGTGTAGTGTGAGTCCTAAATCCAGTAAAGAGAATGGTAAGAAAGTATGGCTAGAAATTTTTATTAGGTATCTTGTTAGTTATTTTGCTAATATCCTGTACTGTATATATACAGTATGCACAAAATCAAAAGATGTGTACAGTTGGATGATTAGGAATGTAAACATAGGGTATATAGCCTCATGACACATTTTTCTCAGTATTTACAAGCAGTTTCCGACAGTCTACTTACTACCTAACCATTCAGTACCCGAGAATGACATATAAATACTGTAGTGTAAAGAGTATCATATAATACAGTATATGATATTATCATGTGATGAAATCATTATAAGTAATAATAGAACTCCCCATAACACATTACCAGTCAGCTGTGAGATGGCTATGCACGATACCAATGTTACATGTAATGAAACTAGAAAAGTTGTGGAAAATCATTTCAATACTCTAATATGAATAATGAAGAGCATGGGTGTGTATGTGTGTGGAGGCAGGGGTTGCTGTAACCACATCGCCAGCCCAACTGACACCGCACTGCCTCCCCCAGATGCCATTGCATACACAGTGCAGTGCAGCAGCTACCCACGGCTGAGTCAGTTGGCTGGCTGAACTGTGTGGTTCACTCTTAGCATTGCCCAGATTTTTTTTTTTTTACATAAAATGTGCTATTGTATTTTATAATGTGCCATGTATCATGTTTATTGTTTAATGTAGTAGTTTTTGTTCATTTTTGGCATACCCCCCGGTATGCAAATTACAGAATAGCAAAGGACTGGGACCTAGACCCATTTAAATCTAACTCAGAAAACAAAGTTTCCGAGGGAGACGTGGATTTTATGAACATCGCCACTCCACAGCCATAATCAATTTTGAGGAATCTTGCCTTTTGCGAAATGGCCTGTACTCTTTATTCCGGGATATGGAATGATTACTGTCTATACAGTTTATATATACTATATGGGATAGCCCTTCAAGGAGACCTTTCACCCACAAAGAGCGCAGGGATCAGTATAATGGGAGATTAAGTAATTAACTTTACCAGGTGTACCACCAGAATGCTGTCTTTTCTCTGCAATATGAGCTGCTGCCATGGATTGTATTGGTAAAGCCCTCATAGGTCCTGACCGAACAGATGTTCCACCTTGGAGGCGTCGCAGCTGAGTCACAACTGATTGTTGGTCTACAGAGCCCATCTTCATTCCTTTAAGAAAGTAAATATTAATCAAAGTCAGTTTGAGGAATGAAGGTAGAATGGAAGTTGTGTGGTGTAAAAGAGATACAAGTGATGAGATGAACCCCAGGATATAGGGAGCAAAATTTGGAGAGACAGACAGACAGAATTGTGAAAAGAAAAATGTACTGAAAAGATACAGTAGGCAACTGAAGAAAATGAGAAAAGAGGAAGAGAGTAAATATCCAAATTATATATATATATATATATATATATATATATATATATATATATATATACATTATATTTTACGCGTCAATTAAACCCGTGGAGGTCCGCGTAAAACGAGAAACGCGTAAACGAAATAACAGAACATATGGTATTAATTAATTGAAATAGAGACTGGGCCGACCCCCAGACTACCCTTTTTCCGACACAATACGTACGTTGTAGTAAAAATAACATCTTAATTTTATGATGGTATGCACGCACAATTAATATTTAAGGGAAATATCAATAATATTAGGTTTTTTAACACTTACGTTAGTAGAAGAGATGGCTGGGCACACGGGGATGGGGGGTTGGTTCCGAGGCAGAGGGCAGATTATTATTGGCCCTCACCTGTATCACCTGTATCACTTGTATCACCTGTATCACTATCCACCACAGAGGCTTGCAGGGCCTCTTTGTCAAACCCCTCAAAGTCCATATCCTCACTATCACTATCACTGACTTGGGCTGGCTGTGGTGGGTGGCGGGTAAAGAACTCGCTAATGTTTTGTTGACTGGGCAACCTAGAGCGCACCCTGCCCGCGCCGCTTCCCGCGTAAATGTTGGAATGTGCCGCGTAACTAATAATTGCCGGTCTGGCCAGGTGCCGCGTAAATGACCAACTGCGTAAAGGAAATTCGCATAAATCGAGACTATACTGTGTGTGTGTGTGTGTGTGTGTGTGTGTGTGTGTGTGTGTGTGTGTGTGTATATATACATATATATATATCATAGCCATTTAATCTCAGTTTATAAAAATTGCTTTAATGTGCGAGTCGATGTAACCTCCACAATATAGGGCTGTACAAAACTCTACAGCAGGTTCTGGCTTACCTTGGACGATGGACTGGACATTAGAAGCTTGTGCTGATGAATTTTGCTGGCATTCCTCATGTTTTTGACTTAGAGCTTCTCCTCTTACACTAAAGGATATTCGATGAAGAAATGGTTGTGCAGGATCTTTCATCTTTTAAATAAATAAAGCAAGAACAAAAAGGTAAAATCTTGAAATTCTCCTTGTGTGGTATTCCACCAAGTTTATGGACTACAGACAGCACATTATCACCCAAGCCACTAACCAACACTGTACTTCTATTATCGTCACATCCATTCTTTGACTCCATGCCATCCCTCAATTTTTTCAATGACTCTACATACTACCTGCTATCAGCAATAAGCAGACAACGTCCAGCACTATGATAAACAGAAGGGGACTCAAGACAGACCCATGATTTACTGTCATAACAGCTTTTGAGCCCTCATATAATGCCATAAGCACACACACAAGACACTCCTTGACCCCTAGCTTCCCCACTGTCAACTTTACGACTGTTGGCAGTGGGTAAAAAATAAATAAATAAATAAATAAATAATGTAAGTACTATATAGCCTTTCCATACATTAATTATATTTCATTGAATATTCTTTCTCCTTAAAGTTGAACTTATAGCATTTTTTGCAATTACTCAATACTTCATATAGCTATGCAATGCAAAACAATGTAGCAGACTAGCAGCATGTAAATGGTGTGTGATAATGGATGCCAAGTTATGCACAACAATGACAAGAGCAAAGCACATCAACCTATTAAACTCTCCCTCATACACTGTCTGTCATTTGCTCACCTAAACCTAATAACCTAAAGTAATAATGATAAACTTCCATCCATATATTAGTTACACTACTGAAAGCACTGTATGGCAGTACAGTACTAATTTTTGTCTCAATATACAGTAAATCCCTTTACCCCATCCCTAAATATGCATGGGCTTCACCCCTCGACCCTTTTAGACAAACACTATGGTTTTAAAAACTTGACCTATACACATGTATCTACGATACGCTACATTACAAAGGTCACCCTCTCAAAGGCAGCAACATATATGCTTGCTTGTTATTGTTTACTGTCAGATACCTTGAGCAGAAAATATGTATATGATTATTGTTGAATAAATAATAAATGAACCAAGTTCATTCACATAAAAAACACCTGGGTACATTAAGAAGTGGACTCATACAGCTAAATAACTGCCTTTCTCTACCCAGCAGACGTCAATATGATATAGGACTCAGCAGGGCATCAGAATTCCAGATTTGTAGATGTTTGGTGATATAGAGCTGTTAAGCAGAATTTCCTAACAAAAACTGACATATCTGTCATTACTTAGAAACATTAAACCACCTGCCAAAAATAATGAAGGAAGACTATACAATAATTCTTTGAAACTAAATACGTCCAGTAGAACCTCTATACACTGGGCTTCAATACACCGGAATTCTCTTTTTTTTTTTTTTTTTTTTACACTCTGGGGGACTCTGGGCAGCCCCTCTGTTCACCAGAAATATTTTTAAAAGTCCAGAAAATCCAGTATCAGTCAGGATGATTTGTGTATTCGTACGTGTGTATGTGGGTGTCGTGCGGCACATGTCTCAGTATGAGTTCTGCCTCCTTATGTATCGCATCAGTGCACCGTACCTCACTACCTAAACTAATTTTTGTTAACACTCTTATTTTATATTTATCGTACTGTAGTTTATAGTTTTCTTTTATTCATAAGGCAAATTCTGTGGTTATTTACATATAACACTTTACAGTATATAACAATCTTATCAGTGAAAACAGTAGTTGACAACCAGAATTAAGTCTTGCTGTAATAGTATTTTACTAACCTTGTTATGCACAGTCCAGATAAGTAGTGTTATGTCCAGACCCCGTTCATAGAGTTTGCCTTTTTCAGACTTTCACATTTTCCATAATGAGGTTTGCCCCAATTAGTTCGGTGTATCAAGGTACTACTGTAAGGACCATTACTACCAGGGTATGCATGATTTATGTAAGAAATTTCTGGTTAATAGCTACACACCCTAAACTAAACATCTACACATTCCAAACACCACACTGTAACTTATCATGCCTTGCTGAGGCAATGGCCATACAAGTGTTGCTATTGGTGTTAATTCATCTGGAATACATTTACAGGAAAATTTCCACTCTGGCCTTAGAACTTTGTGTGTGCAGGTGTCCCATAATTTGATGTACCAGGGTATGTATATATATATATATATATATATATATATATATATATATATATATATATATATATATATATATATATATATAAAGAGCATGAGTAGCACACCTATTTATTCAGTAAAATAAATTACTTGACTGGTTAAATGGAAGTACAAACTGAAGGACTACACATAAAATAGAAGAGCAAGTGTTAATAAATAAATTTTTTATGCAATGAATTTTATTCTCAAGACTGATTCCTTAGGTTTCTCACTTTATATAGCAAACTGGCCAGAGTAATTCAGAGGGAGCAGGAACACACAGTGGTAAGAAAAATGATAGAACAAAAAGATATAAGGAAGACTTCTATAAACAAGTGAGACAATGACTTGTTATAAATGGTAGTAGTAAAACCGAAAAATTCTTCTTGAAACACAATACTGAACGTACAAGAAAAGTTTCCAAGTACAAAGGATAAAACATGTTAAGTTCTTACCTTGCGTTTAACAGATGGTGTTGATGGCTTGTCTGCACATTTGGGAGTGAAATTTGTGTCAGGGGCAACCTTAGAGGCCTTCTGTGGAGTTGAATCAAGTATTAACTGTAAGACTTCCCCCTCAGCATCCATTAAGTTCACAGTCTCATTCAGAGAAGCAATTTTATATTCTCCTCGCTCAAATGTTACATTTAGTTTATCATGCTCATTCTCCTCATTTTCCAATGGCTTAGAAAAGGTGGTATTTGCATGCTGATCTTCTTTCTTGTGACTGCAAGCCTTTCCATCTACGGAGTTTACAGTCCGAAGATCTTTTCCATCAAATGTTCTGTTCATGTTGGCAACCTGAACCTTCTTTACAAATGTTGAATTAGGATTCACCTCATCAAATGCAATGGAGGCTAGGTTTTCTAACTGCTTATCAAAAGTTAAGTTCAATACTGGCTGAATAACTTGATGATCATATGTTGAGTTTAAGCATTTTCTTTCTTTATCATCAATGCTAACTTTACTGTCTTTATTGTCTTTACCTTCCACCAGCTTATTAGTTTTCAGAGTAGAAGTAATAGTGTTTGTTTTCTCATCAATGCCACTTACAACTATAGGACCACCGTCAACAGTGCAGTAGTTCACCTTATCAGTCATTTCATATTTTATCTCCAGGTCTTTCTGAAAGGAAAGAAACAAAAGTAATAATTTCTGATTTTTTTTTTGAATAGGCATTATTGTATAATGAAACAGTGCTCTAAGAGGTATGCCCAATTGGCCATACATCTACCCGGTATCAATAAATCTTTGTTACCTCTGATCCAAATGCCAGAGGAAAATATCATAATTACTGAATAATTTAAGTTTCGAAGAATTAATAAGTCCCCACTCCCATTCTCTCAGAATTTAACAACCTTTCTTGGTATATTTCAATTCAGACAAAATTAGGAGGAAATATTTAATCTCTCTGTATTTGTGGTTATCCATTAACTCTTACTGCTATAATATCCCAATTGAAGCCATGTTTTCCTACCATTTTTCTACTCCAGTGCATCTTGGACACAGAGGGGATCATGTGCTGTTTATTTAATTTTTTTTGTATTTACAGTATTTAATTAATGTAGGATAGTTTTTCTGTGATACATATCTGTGTCAAATAGACCAGGAACGAATCCCATTGAAACCCCATATTAAAAGGCTCCAGATTTACTTTAAGGATTTCCAAGAACACAACCATATAGTTACTCGGGGAATACCTGTACAGATAAAGCTACTTTTAAGGGTAAATCTAGTGATCTGAGCAGCCTTCACAACCAGTCACAGAGGGTTCACTGTATGTTTTGTACATTTTAAGCCCGGCACTCCATATTCAGGGGAAAAAACCCAGGTCTCGAGCATGTTGGATAAATGGTCCCATACTTGTTTAGTAGTACTGCATATACATTATGTGTACTAAGTGTGTTCAATGATTACCTATGGCAGGGTCACTTCCGACTTACAGATTGGCTTATGGATAGCCTCCAGGAACGGAACCCATACGTAATTCATGGAGTGTCTGTAATGTCTTTGTGTATTTATAGATATACAGTAAAACCTCCAATAATGAAGGTAATGTGTTCTCTAATATTGCAGTGTAAGGTGAATCATCATCGTGAATCATTAATTACCATAAAAATAAATCAATAATAATGAGATGTGTTCCCAAGTGTGACCTTTTCATATATTTTGTGGCTTTTTACCCTCTTTTCCCCCAAAACAATAAAATTCATGAAATTGCAAACTATATTCTTTAAATAATGTTTCTGAATGCACCTTATACAATGTATAAATTGGACGCCATTGTTTTCGTTAGTGTTTACACCCGGGAGTCCGGGACGATGGTTTTACATAAGAAAATTAAGAAAATAAGACCCTGGTTGTAGCTGTAGTAAAATTAATGTAAAAAATGAATACAGGTAGTTCTTATATAACGCGATTGTGTTCTTTGTAAAATCGTAGTTATAGAAAATCGCTAATGGAAAATAAAGGGCTTATAGAGAAAATAGGGTTAGGTGCAGATTACTCGAAATCGAAAAAATTAGTAGTTAGTTAACAAAAGGATAGCAAAGACTAAAAATGTTTATTCATATCTAATATGAAATTCACAGTAAATTTACACTTTAATGAAAAAAATATGAATAAAATATGGGGGAGAAGGGTGATTTTGAGGTTGATAACATGGCTTCTCTTCAAGTGTTATATCCTTTCTTTTACGATAATCACCGGGAATTCTATCATTGAATGCTATTCACAGTTAATACCACAAAATTGGAGAAATAGTAAGCAAAAATCGCGTTATAGCAAACAAGCGTTCGCGTTATACAAATATTGTTCCGAATTCATAAATCGCGTTAGAGCAAATTCGCGTTATCAAAACACGCGTTATAGCAGAACTCACTGTATATATATGTTTTAAGTAATGTTATTTAATGTTAATAAATGGAACAATAGAAGTGGCTAACCACTAATGGCAAAAAAAAAAGCGAGTTAGATTGGGAACGCCAACATATACTTGCGCATTCAAGGAAACATAGCGTCATTTATCTTATTAAGAATATGTACAAAAGACTCATTATTGTTTATTAATGAATATGTATTTAATTGAATTAATGTTTATATATACGAAATGAACAATGCAATTCATTAATAATACGTAGAATATTAAAACACAAAAGAGGAGACAAGATGGCATTGTTTTCGTGAGTGACGATGGTTCTACATAAGAAACTGAAGAAAATAAGACTGGTTGTAGCTGTAGCTTAATGTAAAAAAAATATATATATGTATGTTTTAAGTAATGTTATTTAATGTTAATAAATGGAACAATAGAAGTAGCGAACCACTAATGGTAAAGAAATAAAGCGAGATGGATTGGGAATGCCAACGTATGTAATTGCATATGTGAAAACATATCGCCATTTCTCTGCATATGAAAGCAACACTTATTTACTGTTCATATATGTTTTAAATAATACTTACAAATGTAAAAAAAAAATTCTACTCACCAATGGTGGTAAAGTCTAAAACATAAGGACAGCCAATGATGTTGCGCGAGTTTTTACTCGGATGACAAAGTCATTTGGTTCAATTCTGGCTGAAGCTGTAGCTTCCAGAAAGCTGTTGGTGAAACTGTTAATGAACCTGAAGTTGTTGAAGCTGCTTATGATGCTGAATTTGACGGTGTAGCTAAAGTTGATGATTTAGGCCTTCGAATAATAAAGCTGTCAAAAAATCCTTGCACAGCTACTTTCTTTTCTCATTACGATATACATCTTTATGTAGAGGTCATTTGAGTTTTCCACATCTAGTTTCTCGGCTAAGCTTAAACACTTTCTTTTAGCTTTTGAACCATCACTACCATCACTTGCTCTCTTGCTCATGTTGAATAGGGAAGCAAAAATGCCGTAAGAAACCTGAGAAAATTTTTCTCCCTTTCCTGTTCAGATGCGAGAAAAGAAATGGCCCGCCAAGCTGCGACTGTTTATACTAATGATGCTAGCGTCACCACTCAGAAGCCCAGCACCCTCCGTGCACAGAGCCTTTTTTTTTTTTAATACATTTTTTTGGATTTAGCTATTAATTATTTATATGAAAGTGTTATTAATTTTTATTTTTTATTCTATTTTCGTCGTAAATACGAAGAAAATAATGGCTAAAATTGAATTGGGTCCTAAATTAACCAAGGTCTTAAAGATGAATCGTCATTAGTAAAACCGTCGTTATCGGAGGTTTTCCTGTGGCGAACTGTACACTATCATGAACCAATCCCTATTATGTACCGTATATGTTATAAACTGTTTGTTAAGCACATATTTCATTAGTGCCAAGGTCTTTGAAAACACATTCTTTGTGTTAAACGAGGCATTACTGCAGTGTTGAGATAATTATTTTATCAGAGAAAATGGAAGAATTATTAGCAAAAATAAATCAATGAGAATACAGTACATTATATACTGTATAATTAAAACCTTTTGAATGACTGCAGCAGAAAGTGGTGAGATGAATTCACTTTGAAGATGATCTTTCTTGACAGGAGAATTCACCAGGGAAAAAGAATTGAGGAGACTGTCATTCATAGCATCCATATCTGGAAAACAGTTCAAATTATACATTAAAAAATATATATATATTTCTCAGTGAACAGAAAGTATGCAATTAGTAACTATATTGTAGTGCAGAGGAAATTATTTTTGCAAAATGCATTGTTAACCACACTCTAAAAACTCTGATCTGTTGAACAAAAATTAGAAACCAGTTAATGACATAACCAATGACAAAAGGCTATTATCAAGTTAGAAAATTTTCTCCATTCATGTTAATATTGTACACAATACCAAAAAGTATTCATGACAACCAATGAATTAGCCAAAAAAAAAAAAAAAAAAAAAAAAACACTAGGAATATTTCAGTTGGATATACAAACAAACTATGGTCTAAATTTACAGTACAGTACTTCACTCTACTATAATTTACACTGCAAAATTATAAAACTCAGAGCCACTTTAACTTTACAGCTAAACAAAGGTATTAAGCCCTTACAATCTCATTTTGCAGTGAAATAATGAAAACATGGACCAGGTGTTAACCTCCCAAAGAGAGAACGTCCAAGCAAGTCACATATTTGTTGGGAGCAATGTCGTTATCATAGTACCTGTGCTGTACTACTGATCTCGGGGATCTCATGGTTGACTTGAGATACCTGGCTCAGAAACACTTACTGATAATTGAATACGTAATTCTTTAATCTGTTTTTCAGGTCTTCGTATGCATGTTTTTGCATTATTCATTGTTATGAGAACACTTAAAATACACAATATGTAATAATAATACAGTACAGCTCCTCCCCGACTTACGACTGGATTAGGGACCCAAATCCAGGCCGTGTCAAAATGGTCGTAAGTCGAAAATGCTTAAATAATACATAGAAAATCTAAAATGAGTGTCTCTTTTTCTTCTCAGCACCACAAAACTCGCACTTTTAAGATTGCCAGCCATTTTAAAGTGAATTACAAACGAAAATTTTGTCTGTGTACTGACGTTGGGACTCGAAAATACGTCTAGTAGGTCCTAAGTCGGGGAGGAGCTGTATATACATATATAATATATAATGATGGTACTGTATATACCAGTAACAATATCTTCATTTAGGTTGGAGACTAAAGAACACTGTTCTTTAGTAAAAATTTGCTTTATAATTCTAATACTGTATTATTTTTTCATTTATTTCATTTGTAACTTTCTCCCTAATTTTGTGGCCTGGGTTGGTGAGGTAACAACATCTGGTGCCTCCCAGCCTCCTAACTCCTCTAATATTCAGGTCATATTCCATGAGCTCCCTGATAAGGCAGGTGTGTCAAGTAAGCCACTTGGCCCAAATTAAGTCCTACTTACTGCAATAACTACGGACACACCAACAAGGTGTGCCAGACTTAAAAGAGGAAAGAATCTTTCAGAAATAAGGATAAAGCTTTAATTCTCTTCATGCCCTAGCAGTAATTCTAGTGTTCTGGAGTGCTGGAAAAAGCCATTTTCCTAATACAGTACATACTTTGTGAATTGCAGGATTTCAGCAATAATCCACATAACCAAAACTATCAATGTATTGGAGGATTGTTTATAAAATTCCTAAGACAATTTGAATCACAAACCTAATGAATGAAGTGTCATCCGTCGGTCAGAAGAGTTGAGGAATGATGATGGCATATTGGAGGCCACATTGTCTAACTCGTTCACGATGTCACAAGCCTCAGCTAAAAATCCACTTGAGAATGAAGTATCATTATCATCCACAGTGTCTATATTCAGCTTGGCTTGATGAAACTGTAAAGAAAATACAATGATTTTACGTATTAAACTTTTTTTCTTCATGAACCATATGCTGTACAGTACAATCAAACCTCCAATATTTGTAATTTGTCAAAATTTTCCTTATTTCAGAAATTTATAACCAAAAAGTTTGCATATGCTGAAATAACATAAAACAAACAACTATCTAAATGTAAAGAATGAGGATGTGCTCCAGAACCTACAGTACTGTATACAGTAGAACGTCGATATAAGGCGAGATACGCTCCAAGAGAGGTCGCTTTAAACCAAATACACATTAAGTTGAAGTGTTGTTTCAATGGAATAATTTAATTTGGTACTTGAGAGAAACACAAAATACTAAAAAGACTGACAGTCTACCCAGATGCACCTCAGCCCATCTCCTAGAATAAACAAAACATTGTTTTTTGTAGTATTATGTTAAAACAAACACTCATAAATCAACACAGCTAAAATTAAGGGATGCAAAATGGTCTGTTTACTGGCTGGGAAGATGGAGGGAGGGAAGGAGGGAGGGAGGTGAGGTGATATATTTGACAGTTGATGCCAAGGTCTAGTGCTTATTTATTTATCTGTCCTTAGGAGTGACTTTAAGTTTTTCTCTTATAAAATGTCACTGAACTGACATGGAAGAATATAATTATCATTGCTGGAATTCTTATAAGATAATGATTAGTTTGAATATAAACATGCTATAGTTCGCATTAGACATACAAATTTTAGTTCTAACTAATTTTATTAAAGGGCAAAATTTTTTATCTCTTGTGCAAAATATATGACGTTTATATTCAAATTATTCGCCGTCTTGCAAGGATTCTAGCAATGCAAATTATATTCTCCTAACTTTAGTCTGTGATATTATATAAGATAAAAACTGTAAGCCTATAACCACCCAACCGTGGCTGGGAAGAGGGGGGACAGTGACATGTTTGACAGTTGGGGCCGAAGGTCTAGTGAAGTATTTATTTGTTATTTATGTCCTTTAGATTTATTTATTTTTTTTTTTTTCACAGAAATGACCGGGGAGAATATAATTTACAATCTTATAAGATAGTGATTAATTTGAATATACAGTAATCATGCTATAGTTTGCACTAGACAAAAATTTTAGGCGCAAATTTTAAAATATGATGCACCAGATTGACTCGGGCAAAATAGGAAAGATTCGCTTTAAATTAAAACATTGTCCTTAATTGTGGGTGTCGCTTTAAATCAACAATCTTAAATTGAATCGCTTTAAATCTACGTTCTACTGTGCTGTATTGCCCTAGACCTACCTCTACCACAGTTCCATGACATTCAAACACTAATTGCATGATAAAGCCAAATAATATACAGTAAACTCTTTCACATCTCTAACCTATGGACCCAGGGTGGTGCCAGTTAAAAAAATAAAATTAAAATAAAATATACCGAGAGAGGTATACCTACCCAGCCAATAAATAACACTGAATATCGAAAGTGAAATGCTTCATAATAACTTTAACAAGAATTAAGCATCTCATTCATTCCTCCCCTACCTGAAGACTATGTAACCTCACTCCCACCAGCCTTCGTCAACCTCAACTCCCCCCTCTTGTAAAGCATACATTAATCCCTCCATATTTGAAGAACACATTCTACAAATGATCATAATTTCATTACCATAAAATAATTAACCTCTGTTTATGTGTACTTCACTCTGTATATTACTGTGATGCAGTAAATGAATCGTGAAAAATAAAGAAGTCATGTATAATTATGAAGAAAACAGCCTTAGAAAAATATTTCAATCATAATCACTTTCACAGTATTGACCTTACGTAAGATATCATGTATTACGCAATAAACATGTACTGCACTGTACAGTACATGATTTATATATAATATTGCAAATACAGCATAAGAGAAATAAATATTTAAAAGTACAGTATACAACTACTGAATATTTATGAAGAAATAGAGCTCATTGAAATACAGGATATATTTAATGAGCTACACTTGCTGTGATATTTAAATAAGACAGAGTACAGTAGGATCTCAAGTTTAGCGACTTTAAGATTCACTATTCATATGTTTCGCGTCACTTTTAAAATTTCCAGCCTCTCAAGAATAGTGATTTTCATTACCAGTTTTGCGAGTTAATTGAGAGTGGGCAGCGCGCATTGTCATGGTCTTTTGTTATCCGTCGAGTGTTTGTTGTTTACGGCAGTTAGTTTGAATGAGCGATGCAGTGACCTTGGATTATATAACCCATTGTGCTTACATGTCGTGAGATTCTTGTTTAACTATTAACGATTCTTGTGTATTAACGATGTGTGAGGTGCGTAATGTAAATGTCGGGAGCCGTTCTGGTGGTAATGAAGGCCGTAGAGAAGGTCAACAAGGAAAGCCCCGAAGCCCCGAGCCAAGCGTGACTACCGTAAGGGGGTCAAGAAGAGGAAAAACACCCATGAAATGAAACGAGATACTTGAAATGATCAAAAGTGGTGCTCGTACCCGTGAAATCATGCGTAGGTTCAACTGCCCCGAATCAACCATACGTTCCCTTAAGAAGAACAAGGAAGCCTTAACTGCTTCTATGAATATTCTCAAGATTTTCTAGTAACAGGACGTTCTCCGATACTTCACAACGAAACCTACTGCTTGTTATCACAGAACATTACCTTCACAAGTGGGTGGAAAGAAGAACCGTGAGCAGGTCGACCTGTCTTAGATAAGGCGTCAAGCACATGTTTATTACGCTGCAGTTGCACAGAAAAAACGCTTCAACTCTCCACCACCGTTCAATACTTCTGTTGGTTGGTTGGCCACCTTTAAGAAGCGTTATGAAGTCAAGTTTGCCCACTACCATGGGGAGAGTGCATCAGCTGATGTCATAGCATTAGAAAAAATATCCACCAATCTTTCAAGCTCTTGAGAAAGAGGGTGGTTATTGCCGAGACCAGATCTCCAATTGTGACGAAACTGGCATTTTCTGGAAGCGCTCACCTAAGACCACTTTCATTGCCAAGGATGAAAAACAGGCAAGGGGGTGTAAAGACTCCAATGGACAGGATTACAGTTTTATTCACAGCTAATACAGGTGGAGATTTCTTGGTGAAACCCCTGGTTGTTAACCGTGCTGCCCGTCCTAGAGCCTACTGTCATGCCAATATGTCAATGTTTATTGGACGTCTAATAAGAAAGCTTGGGTGACAACATCTTTGTTCCTGATGCCCAACAGCACTGCCGGAGGGAGAACTTTGACTTCAAAGTGATCCTGGTGATGGATAATGCTCCTGGACACTCTTAAGTTTCTAATTGGACACAACCCTAATGTGCAAGTTATCTTCCTTCCTCCTAACACCACATCGCTCTGCAGCCACTTGACCATGAATTCATCAGTAATGTTAAACTGTTCTGCTATCAGTCACTCTATAAAGACTTCCGTCAGCAGACAGACGCATTACTCGAGTTATAACAAATCGAGGCAGAACTTTCTGACAGTGACCAGGCTCTACCAGCTAACCAGGAGGAAGAGCAGGAGATCGTAGATGACTCGACCTCCTAGCACCTCACCACCCCACAACCATGAGGTGTTATCAGTTTGTGAATTTTGGAAGAAATATAATATTAAAAATGCAGTGGACAGAATTGTTGAGCCATGGCATAAGATTAATGTTGCAACAGTGCTACACGCATGGAAGCCTTTGTTCGCTAACTCCGAGGTAAGTGAGTGGAGCAGAGCAGACCGAGGCAAGCGGGGAGAGGCAGTTTGTGGTGGCAACGCTAATGAACACAGTGGAGACGGCGCGGCAGTCCCAGCACCGAGATTTTCGGATGTTCAGGTAGAAGATTTGCAAGAAATCGTTGGTCAACATCAGCAGCAACCGACAACTGAAGAAATGTTGGAGGAGGATGAAGAACAATCAGAACCACAAGCAACACAAGGGGATGACGTTAAGCCTGGTGAACCTACAACATGCCAGCTGACTGAGTTGCTCACAACCATCGCAAGCCTCAGTGAATAGCTAGAAGAATACGATACCAGGCCTCATGCTCAGAACCATAACTGCCTTGTCATTGATAAAGTTCTAGAGGAATATAAGGCCATATACATGTCACTTGTGAATGCTGGTCAGCAGGCCCTTATTACTTCGTACCTGCACAAGGCCCAGCCTGTTATTAATGCCTTGGCAAACATCACTTTAGGAGATGATGATGGCACCACCGATGATGATATTGAAGTGTTGGGTGACTTACTGGTGGAAGAGCTGCCTCAAGACTTTCGAGGGATTTGATGCTGAGGTTAGAGGTGTAGGGGAAGGAGAAGGGAAGAAGTAGTAACCATTCCTCCTTGCCTCGGGACCCATCAAGTAACCCTGTCAAGCATTTCACTGACTCCATCAAGGTAAGTTATTCTACAGTATGAGTGTAAATCAATATTGTTATCACCAATATGTACAATATAATATACCGGTATATGAATACATTACAGTAATGTCATTTTCTTGGTGGGTTGTAGGTCATTATAGGGGGGTTTGGGTGACACCACAGAACCAATTAACTTATTTACATGTATTTCAAAGTCACTTGTTTCGCAATTTTGAATTTCGCAACGCTAAAACCGGAACTAACTAATCACGAAACTTGAGATCCTACTGTATAAACAATACAGTGCAGTACTTTCAATACTGTAAGGAAAAATAAATAAGTAATATGTCCAATAGCCGGAAACCCTCTTATCTGGATCTCTCCGATAGCTGAAATTTAAATTTTCTCAGAAAATCGTTCCCAAAGCCGGAATTCTTCAGAAAATTCCAGGTTTGGGAATGATTTTCCGAGGGGCACACTTTCTGGAAAATTCCGAGGAAATTTTCCTGGTACCTGAAAAATTCCAATGATGAGGGATTTTTTCAATCTTTTTTTCCAGTAAGTTTATTCGTCCTGTAATATCCACAGATTTATACACTTGTCCTAAATATCAGTGCAGTGTATTAAAGATTAGAATAATCATAGTGGTGAAGTTAATGCAGTAAATGATTCAATGTTTTACTACACAACTAAGAGTTTTGGACGCTGGACAGGATCGGTCTTCACTCCAGCTAACCCAAGCACTGTATCCTATTCTAAGTCACGCCCTAAATTTTTCATTTTTGGGCCTAATTAAGGTGTGGCTTATAGTTGTGCAAGTACAGTAATATTGTAGGGTACGGTAGTAGTTATGATGTTTCATGACCAAATATTACTGTATAATAACAGTTATAATTGCTTGCACAGTGAAAATTCTAACATGCTATTCATCTGAGAGTTCCGAGTAATTCTAGGTTACTGCTGCCAAACCTTTTTATCCACTGCGGGAGGTAGTGAAGACATGAATGTTTCAGGAGTCTTTTCCTTACTCCCTGTAGTATAATTTTCAATAATGGAGGAAGTGAGGAGGCTGTCATTCATGTTGTCAATATCTGAAAATTTTCCAATTATAAATTACAAATGGAATGTAAGTTACTTGTGACTACTTAAACATAATACAGTACTCTTGTAAAAAAGTAATGGAAAGCATTTTTGTGCCTATATTAAAGATGCAAATCTCCTTTTCTCTGTGAGAAATTTCACTATCATAAAGAACATTAGTCTCCATATATCTATAAACACTGGTTACCCTTTCACATCCACATCACCTTTATTCTACAGTACTCATTGTGAAAACAATAAGAAAGAAATACCAATTGGGTCAAGAGATGCAGAAGTTGAATGTGGAGGGGAAGAGAGCTAGGGGTAGGCCAAGAATGACATGGGAAGAAGTTGAGAGAAATTATCTAGATATAAGCACCTAACAATAGAGCCTACAAGAGACCAGAGTATGGAGAGCTGCCATCAGGTAAGCACAGCTAGCTCATGCAAATATTGAAAATTGCCATAAAATAATGATGAACAATATCTGATACACAGAAATGAAACAGTCCAAACCATCATCATATGGGTTGAGCATACAAATGTGATGTTAATTAAAACCTTACATAAGTTGCAGGTGCTCCTGGTAACAACCTGAGGTTTGTGTGAGATAAGTCGGTGTTGCTCACACTCACTGTAAGAGATCAAGCAGTTTCCCCTCATCATCATTATTATTTGAACCACCAAAACTATACTGTATCACTATACCACCAGGCCACCTCTAAACACATCCATTTGATGGTTTTACAATCCCCCCCTGGACAACAGTACATGACTTCACCTCATATCACCACCCTGCGGCACTGATTTTTTATGTCGCTTCACACCTCTTCATACTCCTTCATTAAACAGCTACCAAACTGCTTCCCAACCTAATATTCCTACCACCGTACACTAACTCACATTGCCCGTGACCACCTGTGAGTGATACTCAACCATCAGAATTGTTCAATCTTTTGCCACTAAACAGGGTACTGGTGACATAACTCTTTTTATTATTTAAATATTACATTCATACCTTACTTGACCTATATTTCATGTCACAACTTTATATTCTGATAATCATAGACACCCACATCCCTGACTCACTCAGAGCCTCCATCCAGTTCTCCATATACTACCATCAAAATAATTTATTATTCTTTTAAAATGATTTAAATGTGTTAAGGATGTTTCCTCCTACTCCATAAATTCTCATTGCTTCCCATGGTACCACTTGATAAATCTTAAAGATTATTGTACACACCTAGTAACTCGAGGCCTGCTCCAAGTGTCATTTGTAGATGGGGAGAGCTCAGTGGTGAGGAGGTCATTTTGGCATCCTCTGTCCCTTGCCCATCATTACTAGCTTTGCTGTCTGAGGAGCCATCCAGTTGTGGATCCTTTTGTATTACTCCAACATCGGAGACAGCTGTATCTACCTGTGATGAAGAATAATTAATGTATCATAAACAAATATAAAGTTCAAAGAAAACCCTCTATTAAATAGAAAATAGAAAGCTCCTGGACCAAATTTCTTCATTTCATACACAACAATAGCTTTTGTACATGCCAAGGTGTAAAACATGTATTAGTAGAGACTGCAACAGCTCTTGTTAACATTGAACGTGGTGTTACCTATACTAAGTTAATGACTCACTGAGTTACTTGGCTTGAGTATGCCACCTTCTACAGGGAGAGTTATGTCAGCTATGCACTAGGCACTGCCATTCTGCATACCTTATGCTGGAACTGAGCTGACATGACCCTCCCTATAAAAAACACTGGCTGTGACATGGCACGGTAGACCTATTATGGAAAACTAATGTACTATCCAGAATTTGTCCACAGCTCAACAACGCTCAGCTTGGTTTGCCTTCACATCCAGACTAAGTGAACCATGAGATTCATCATATTGCTGCCAGTCTTGGATATGAAATACCTTAGGTTGAAGCTAAAAGACTGGTTTTCAATACTATATAACTTCTGAATTGGCCTGAGACCTTTTTATGACCCAAAGGAATAATTCTCTCACCTTATTTTAGAGTATGAAACTTAAACACCCTTATACCAGAGACAAGAGCCACGAGGAAGGTGGTTTCCTTGGTAATTAATTGTAAATCCTCCTCTACAGAGTTCAAGAACTTGAGAACCAGTTCATGAGACAAATTAACTGAGCAGATCTTTAAATGCCTTTGATATGAGGTCAACAGCATGGGCCTCTCAGAGGTAAGAACAATGCACTTTTAACCCTTAGGCCCCAGGTGATGTTCCAGAACGTCCGCCTATTTTCCCAAGTATATATATATATATATATATATATATATATATATATATATATATATATATATATATATATATATATATATATATATATATATATATATATATATATATATATATATATATATATATATTGCAACAAGACAAAGCATTTGAAAACTCCAAAATTAGATATCTATTAACAAGGATGGTGAAACTAGCTTAAGTAACAATCCAAAAGACTTCTGAAGTTTACTTCTCTCAGCAATTTCAGCTTGTGGCTTCTTACATGTATCCTCCTTTACTAAATACTGTAGTTGTTCATTAAAAACAAATGAAGGGGAAGCAGAAGTATTTTCTTGCCATATCAGTCAGCCATGATATCTTCTCCTTCAGACATGAACTCAGTTAAAGTGCAAGTTTCAAGTGTAAGGACAGAGTTCAGTACAAACAAAGAAACAGTTTTGAATCTAGGTATCTGTATCACTATCAGCTGATTAACAGGTTAAAAAAAAGTTTTGGAGTACCCTTAGCCTATGGTGACTTGTGTTCACTTTACTGTACAGCACTTTGTTTCAACTAATGTCACACTTTTCAGAAGCACAAGTCCCCCATATAGTGGAGTATACCTGTACTGTGATCTAGAACCTCTAAATCAATGGTTCTTAACCTTTTTGGAGCTTCCCTCCCCCCATGATCATATTTGAATCCATGACACCCCCCAAACACTATAGGGCCTAAGAATACCTTTTTTTCAAGTTCCTATTTCACCACCTTTATTGCCTTTCTAAATAAATAAATAAATAAACTCAATAATGTACTTATGTAATATTTCTAGAAGTTTTATTTTGTTTCATCTGGCAGTAATGGGAGGGTTGGATATTGCTTCTTCTCCATAAGCATTTGAATTTTTTGGAAAGATTGAAGAAAAAGCACATTGCATGTTATTTTCAATATTCAGCCTGTTATGATTCGTGGTCTTCACAGGAACAAACCTGTCTCACAAAGGTAGGTGGAAGAAAAAGGAACAATCTCTCGTAATATTTGCTGCCATGTCAATTTTTAATTAATTCATTTATTTAATAGGGCATACATATTCTGAGTCAGAAATAAATGTCCAATCCTTTGTGCTTTCCCTGAAACACCCCTCCAAGGGGGTGCAACCCCAGGTTAAGAACTACTGCTCTAAATCCTTCTAATAAAAGGCTGGTCATGTCTTTCATTGTTAAATCTTGCATGACAACAGCAAAATTTCAGGCCTCAGAATGAATCCTATTTTTCTAACTACAGTACAGGAGTCATAACTTCATTTCTACTAATTTCTCCAGGAACACAACTCCCATGAAAATCTAAGGTTTAATGTGTACTGAATCTTGAATGGTAAAGTGTTTTGGAAAAATTAAATATCCTCAGGGATAGAGTCATAAATGACTCATCAGCAACCACTACATCAATGAATATTTTTTTTTAAATCTCTATGTAAGTGGGTGAATAGCTGTAATTACAACAGCTGCATTGTTCAAAAGAACAATACTTTAAACCAGTGAATTATAAAACTGTGTTGGTGGACACTGTCATGAGGTGTTGAATGTGGTGGAAAATCCCAGGTTACTTTTTTCTTGGTCTTAAGACCACTGTACAGTACAGTACTAGAAAGTGGAAAAGTAGAAAGCATTTACAATATTGTATCACAAAATACAAATTAAATGAAATGGCAGATATTATATGAACCATACATAAAACCTCCATAATATGTTAGCCATTGTATGAGGACGGAAAATATATGATAAACACTGCTGTACTTACATCATCTACAGTGATCAAGTTACTGACACAGGTAGTGGAAGGAGTCCCCTTCATAAACACATCTGTACCAAAAAAAAAAAAAACAATACAGGTAATTTGTTAGAGACCCATAATAAAATAAATCCAATGTTCTCTTATAATAAAATGTTGCATTTACACATTTTAGAAGTGTATTATTATTACTATAAACAAAAAGGAAACAAACTGTAGAAATTTTTATTAATATTATCCTTATTATCAGACTAAAGAAACTGTGATTTACAGTCCTGTATTCTGCTGTTGGACAAAGATGACAACTAGTAAGATATACAGAAGATCAATTACAGTACAATAGTTTCAAGATTTCTTATCACTTTATGCTTATTTGTTTGAGAAGTCAGCAACAATAATTTAAAAGAAATATGGTACAAAGATGGATAACTCTGAGAAACACGGACGCTATTATGTATGTATGTACAGATGAGAAATTTCTGGATTTAGTAATGAGGGGTATGAAAAATATTGCAGAAAAATGGTACAGAATTACATACAAGAAAAACCAATTCGAGTTAGTAAGGATACACAACGACGATGCAATAAACAGAGAGGTGGTTTAGTTTAATTAGAATCAAAACACCTTAATGAATAATGAAAAGCTTCTCATCCCCCATGTGCTCAGTAGTTTGTATAGCTCACATGGAAATTCCTGTTCATTTCTAAGATCAACAAATATATAAAATCAAGAATAGAATATTTCTTTTGAGAGGACCAGTTGTACTTAGTGCTAACTGGCCAACAGACCCTGTGTGACTACCTGATAATAAGGGTTAGCTTCCTGTGTGAAATTACTCAATCAACCTTCGTGTCAGATCCATTTTACCTCACTTTGACTGGGCCCTCGCTTCATGTCCCCTTGCTTCTATTACCATCATACTTTATGGCTTGGCCCTTTGATTTTCACTCTGCCCTACCCTAGAAATATTCCTGCAGGGGCTAATGTGCTAGCTCAATAATTTTAGATCATGGAAATGTTGGTCTGAGACTCTGAGCGACATCTTTCTTGTCGGGTCCAAACACCCGGACCATCAAGAGACTACTTATCCAGTATATCCACGATCAATCTGGCAAAATTAAGTTTCGGGAAAATCTCCCAAAACAAGCAAAAACCATAAAACAAAAGCCTAACTTTTTTTTTCAACTTTTATATGTCATGTCATATTTTTTTTGCAGTACATGGGGTGAGGGGGGTGTAACAATGTCATAAGTGTTTCCCCCCTGATTGTTCCCACCAAGTTCGAGCCAATAGGATCTATGCCTTAGGTTTTGAACCAATGAGGAAACCTGCAAGATGTGACGTCATGAAGATGTAGCATCCCTTTGTGGCCGACCCAGTTTGAAAAGTGGAGTCTGTTTTTGAAGAGAGTGAAGTGTGGGTGTCATCTCCTCACATGGGGTTATAATGTGAGTACCTTTCAGGTTTTATCCATTTCACAAAATGTATTGTGATTCATGAGATCCCTGGTTAGCTAGCTTGGAAGATAGGTTATTGTTTTGAAGTATAACTGTTCATTTTGAGTAGCGTCGTAAATAAACAAAGAACTGTTATGATTAGTTCTCAATTCCCTTGTGTTAATTAAAACATTATCATGCATGTCTTTGGTATTATGCAGTGGTACAGTAAGCCATAAGAAATAACATAACTTAATGCCTGGTATCTCTGTTCCCCAGTTATCACAGGTTATGCCATTATTCCCCAGTTATCCTCTCTCCCCTCATATCACCTTAACCTGCTGTAGGCCTCACCATACCCTCGAGTGTGAGGGCCTACTTTCCTCAACCGCAAAACATAAACAATTACCTCTCACTCCCTCCTTACAAGTACAACGAGACAAGAAAAGAGAATAAAAGAAATATAAGAAGTAAAAGGTAAATTAATAAAAAGAAATAGAAGAAGTAAAAGAAATAAATAGAACAAATAGAAAAGAAATAATTTTTTTCTTATTGTTACAGGGGCTCGATTTCCCAAATGCCACAGTTATTGAGTTAAGGAGTTGCTGCCTTTATTAACAGAAAGGGACCTTCCCTTTGTGTCAAAGGATAGATGCACACTTGCTCCAAAATGTATCTTCAAGGTGGCATCTGATGGATGTCAAAATGAGCACCTCCGCTCCTGTTGTCTCAGTAGGGTTATCCAAATACTTTCCCTGTTGTGTCATATTCTCGATCACAAAATCTTAGATACGTACTTTTAGGAATAAGTGTACATTCAACTGACACAAAAAATGTTGAGCAAGCCTTAATGAGAATGGTGAGGTGAATGTACAAACTGCAATATGACACTAAAGGACAGGACACCCTGTTAAGAGTTAAGAGGGCAGCTGGGTACAGCGGAGTCTCGATAATGGACAAGTTGTCGGTTCTAAGTAAACACAATAAATACACTCTGCCACGTTTGTAGAGTGATACAGTATATATAATTTGTAATAAAAGTTTAAAGTCCTGCTATAATAATTTGAGATAAGTTTATTTCTCTAGAAAAACGGCCGCCATTTGCAATGACATCACCAAATTCCCCGCAGACGACATTCTTCAACAAACTCACCGCTGCAGTCGGATGTAGTACAAAGGATGGCCTCTTGAAACCCCAAATGCCACGTTCAGGTAAGTTTTAAGGGTGGTTTTTTTTATGGTCCAAGTCATGGACATTTCATAAGTGAAGAAATGTGCCATGAAGAGAAGCATATGGACATAAAAAGCTTTCATGTTCACACCAGCTCAACTGTCATGTATTCTTACCTGGTAGACTTTTTTTTTTATTCCCAGTGCATTTACAGAGTACGAGTATATCAATACTAGATGGAGATGCAAGTCAATTTAGAAGTAATGACATTGTCTGGACTTTATGAGAATGCCTGATGCTAGGTAAACATGACAACATAGTGCTGTTATTGTTTTGATGATTCATTCATGAACCACTGGGATATATCATGTTGTAATAATAAATAGGTAAAATTTTACTTTAACTACCATAAGTATTTGGAAGTTTAGAATTGAGATATGCTATATTGGGTAAATTTGAAGTTTTGGTCATCCCTGTTTATGAACGATTTAGACCTTCATTTCTATCGTAAATCATCAGTTTTGAGTTACTACCCCCCCCCCCCCACCGGTGTATGTTAAGCTAATCTTATAACTTATAATATAACTTATCATACCCTAACCTAACCTATGACCTGTATTTTCTTATGCAATCTAAAAAAAAATTTGCGACAGAAATCCCGTAGAGATAATGTGTCTTATTGTTTAAATTACTTAATCCCATAGTTAGAATCTTAAGGTTCCCCAAATGACCAAAACCAAAATAATACTAATACCGTTTGGAATGTTTATACTATGAAATTTGTAGTAAGGGCAGCTAATATTCATTGAATTAGTTAATGTTCTTAGTAATATAGTATTACTGTGTTGCACAGTCAAGCACAATTAATTTATTAATATTTATTTACAGAGCCGATCAGCCGAGAAGGTGGAACAACTCCTTCCAGGGTTCATCAAGGCAGATGAAAGATATTTACCAAGAGTATTATCAAGAACTCTGCCATCCAGCCATGAAGCATATTAAATTACATGTCATCTGATCATCTCAAGCCCATTCCCTGGCCATGGTCGTCCCTAGTCCTTCTACAACATTAAATATAGACATCAATGATGAAAACTTACATTTTCCAGACATGAAATAGAGAACAGAGATGAAAACTTCCATGTTGGAGTTATCTGTCTTTTGCATCATTTTGGCACCCAGCAAGTAAATACACACGATGATACTTTAACAGTAATTTATTTTAACCTAAAAATAAGGTATGCCTGTGTATATCAACATTGTATATGGCCACAAGTCCTGTATTTCTCTGGTAACAACACATACACCATAGCTGGCTTCCTCCAGGCTCCTGCTTGGCGGCTTGAGCCAAACTGTGACGTCACAACCAATCACAGAGCTTTTCGCAGTCATGTGACTTTTTAGCTATTCTAACCCCTATTCTGACCGTGTGTGAGGAAGTTCACAACTTGTGATAGTGACAGCAGGTCCTGGATATCAGTGGTGTCAATTTCATTATAATCCCCACATAATACTAACTTGGCACATGGGTACCTAACTCTTAGGTGGTGAGGTGGTAATGAGATGATTAATATGAGTGTCTCTGGTAGGTGAGCGAGGCATATGGTATGACACACAGATTATGATGGAAGCAGTGCGGCGCGGGTGGGCCCGTAGCACAACACGTATCCATAATGCTTCCACATCTGCTGGGACTTGAACAGCCAGGCGTGACGGGCGTAGGTCATCTTGACAGAAGAGGGCAACACCCCCTCCGCGTCTATGTGAATGAAGGTGATGAAAGAGTTGATATCCCTCAATATGACACGTTTCAGGCACAATTTGCCAAGCCTCACATATGGCAACGACGCTAGCGGCGGCTGACCTGACTGTGGTTGCCAGCTCGTCAAGCTTGTTAACTAGGGAAGTGACGTTGGAGAGCAGTAAAGATGGGAGATCATACCATACCCGTGGAACTTCAGCGTAAAGGTACGGTCTGTCAGGGGTGGGTTTCTCTGGTTTCCTAGTGGAGGTTACGGTCCTAATGGGTTATCTTTATGACGCCCCTGTCTAAGGCTGCGCGCGTGGAATACAGTATGTGCAGTGACTTGAGTCACGCGATAACACTGCCATCAGGATAACCGTTCCAACACTTCAGAAGGTACAGAGAGCGTCAGAAGTAAGTGATTGGTGGCCATCTGTTGATATCTGTTGTTGTGGACGGACGTTAGTGTTTGTCCCCGGTGGCCATAAACTCACTGGCGGCACTTTGAGGGCCACTGACACTGGTAGACATCTGTTGATAATTGTCAGTCGTAAACACCGTGAGTCCTTGCCTCTGGCGCTTAGGATCGCCGACACAATATCCACAATATATGTATACACCACGGTGGTCCTTGTCACTGGCACTTTGAAGGTGACTGACAGTGCCCACTGTCTGGTATTACACTGCTGTGTTTTTGTGCTTTTCCTTGGGATGCACTATCGGCGGAACACTGTTTGGTAATCAATCATTGCACTGATCACTTGAATGTTTTGCTGAATAAATCCCGGTGTAGTAAGGCTGGTAGGGCGTTGGGATAAAGCAGGGCCAAACAGACTTGGCCTGGCTGTGTGTGAGTGTGAGTGTGAGTGTGTGTGTGTGTGTGTGTGTGTGTGTGTGTGTGTGTGTGTGTGTGTGTGTGTATGCGTGTATGCAAGTGTGTGCGTGTGTATGCATGTGTGTGCGTGTGTGCATGTGTATGCATGTGTGTGCGTGTGTGCATGTGTGTAATAATAATAATAATAATAAATAATAATAATAATTAACGGCTGAAAATATACAATGAACAGAGATGATAAGTTACATAAGGTGAAATCGGGGAGTGGGTCACTTGATTGACAAAAGCGTTCAATACAAAAACATAAGAAACATAGAGTCAACATATATATTAACTTTAGATCTGGTACTGTGGGAGCTGGTCTGTAGACATTCTTGTGACCTGATGTCGGCACCAACAAAGTCCGTCCCACTGTCTTGATGGCTGTTGTACCTGACTGCTAAGCCGCTACCTCACTACAGCTGCAGATGTACCACGTGGTCCGGGTAAATCCTCCAGCTCACACAGGGTGTTGGAGATGGTTCTTGTTCCTCATATGATGTAGTTAGGAATTCATTGTTCCTCACCTGGGTGGAGTAGGGAGTTTCATCATTTATCTCCTGATGTAGTTAGGAGTCTTTCTTTGCTTCTCATCCAGTGTTGGTGGTGGCGAGTGTACGGTGGACAGAGTGTGTCTGGTCCGGTCAGGTCAACATTGGCCGCGAAGCACTGATTGTCGCTCTAACAGTTGTTTCTTTCTTTCGAGTTGAAATTGTCACTTTTGTTTATCACTTGTGGGTTGATGGTCAATCTTTGCACTGTTCTGTTGGTGGGAGGATGTTGATAAATCCAGATGGGGAGGAGGTGATGGGGAAGGGGAAGGCCCAACAGACTGAGCTGGCAGCTGTCTCCATTGTCAAGAGACCACGGCCGCGTCAGCGAGCAGCGCCAACTACACACGTCCTTACCCTACGAAGGCTGAAGGAAGCGTGTGTGTGTGTGTGTGTGTGTGTGTGTGTGTGTGTTTTCCTTATGGCCCCACCGAAACCAACTATGAACCCCCACCAATGGAAAGTCCAGTTTTCAGTTTTGAAAACAGAGGGATGAAAAAATATGGTAGGAAGGTAAGGTGGCTTAAGAGATGGTCATGCACTATCTTTTGTCTCTACTAGTGTTACTATAAAACTGAAAAGGAGAAGATGGAGACTTCCATTTTACATGCCATATGGATGGAAAAGTGTCAGTCATCACATACTGTAACACGTTGGGAAAAAAAATACATATACAATATCAAACTTACCTATTTCTTTTGTTACCATCTGTCCTGGGGAAGAAGCTCCTTCCAGAGAAAAAAATGTCTTGCTGTCAGCTAACACCCTGTATGATGAACCAATCTAAAAAAATTAAATTAATGGATAGAATGATCTAATGTAACACAAAATTTAAACACAAAATTATTATTTTTCTTAATATACCCAAATTAATTTGTAGAAACAAAAACAAATAAAATTGGAAAGTTTGAATGTATGTGCATGTGAAAAGGAGAATGACTGGATATATAATGAGTGAGGAAACATTGTCTTTGTTTTGTGTGAAACAAAGACGATTGGTAAAGAAGAGGTTGGCTGGGTATAAGTGAAGGGAATAAAGTCAGGAGTGTCTGAAAAAGGGGAAAAAGAGTGTGGTGGTGTCATTAAGTGATGAAGCATGGAATTGTGTGATAGAAGATGAAAGGATCAGTGCCAGACAATTATAGGAGCCAAGGTGAAAAGAATCATCAAGCCTGCTCTCTCTCTGGAACAGCCGAGAGATTGGCAGGAACACAGGCATTAATGTCGGAAGCATAACTTGTTCATTCCCTTTGTTCATTATTCTGTCTTTTCAGAGGAATTTCTGTGACTCGTTCATCAGGTTGGTCTACCCAGCCATTAAACAAATCTGGCAGGCTGTAGGTAGGCAGCTTAATGGATAGGGTAAAATATCTGCATATGACATAGGTCATTAATCCTGGTATACTGACGACTTCCCTTACCATGTATGGTGAGATGGGATCATGCACCACCTGACAAATTCCCATCTAGGTATTTACCCCTCAAAGTATTAGCTTGTCCGCTAGGCAAGTTCCAAGCACATGGACATGAAAAATCACTTGCTCGACCCCGAGTCTAAGCACATCTTGGCTGCTGGGCACTGCAAATCTGCATTCTGGTATCAGGCCAGCTGACAATGGCAGATTCTGCTAGTGATTTATTTTGTGATGTGGATAAAGCTGATGACCTGCAAGCCATAAAATTACATAATACTCACTGTTAAACAATCAGAAATCTTCATAGGGCTGTTGGGTGAAGCAGAAGATAAAGATACTAGGTCTGAACTTTCCCAGTAGCCAAGGCTTATATTAGGCATCTCTATATCTTCTAGTAGCTCCCCTGTGCGGTTGTGAAGGGCTGAGGGAGAATCATTTCTTCGTTGTGAACTGTTGCTTATGCTGTTCTGACCACTACTGCCATGGGAGTCCTCTGGTACTGTAACAAAATTTATTAGTATCGTTTTCATGAAAATAAAAACACAATCTAAATAACAATATTTTAACCTTTTCAGCGGTGAGAATTTTAGGGTAACTAACCTCCAATGAATGAGGTTTTCAAAGCACAGGTATACCACCGATTTTCCAGCAACCTTGGTTCCAAAGCCTTGCCAGATTATCCGTTTTGTCGGACCAACCGAGGTCACGTAATAATAATTCAACAATACACCTCTGACCCACTAATTATACACCTTCTGTGTCTCTAAAGCACCATGGACTGTTAGAAACTTAAATTAAACAAATATTAAATGTAAACTAAATGTGAAAAAGCCATAATTTTGAGCAACATTACTGTACACACTTTGTACTCAAATGTACTACACTAGACTAAAAAAAATTATCTCCCATGCAAACTATATGATGTTTATACTCAAATTAATCACTATCTTACAAGGATTCCAGCAATGCAAGTTATATTCTGCTAAGTCTAAGTCAGCGACATTTTATAAGATAAAAACTTTAAGCCTAAAACTACCTTCACACTGGCTGGGAGGGAGGGAGGGAAGTTAAATGCCCTCTCGTAATTTTGTCCGGACTAAAGGAGGTGCCGGACCACCAGTTCCCGGAAAATCGGTGGTGATACCTGTACTGTACTGTACTGTATAGTATTAGGAAAACACCTGTACCAATGATGGTATCATGAAATGAAAATCTTTGATAAACAAAACTCTTACTAGAGTCCATTTCTAGTCACTCAATGGTGAACTATGTAGAAGTCAATTGTTGCCATTTGCTCACCATTGCTACTTTCACTAAATTTATCACTAAAACAATCTTCCATACATTACTAAATAATATGCCATTTGAAAAAAGAATAGTCCAGTATCTGAAGAACATCATGTACTGCAGTATCAGTCCCACCATGGGATCACACAGACTTCCTGATAAGAAAGAGGGTGGGAGTCTATATCCCTAACACCTTGGTAAGTGCAATCTGTGAAGTTCTACTTTCTATTGAAGAACTCTACAAGAAAGTTTGGATATCATCAGTACAGCAGTGTTGTACCAAATGAAGTATTGACCCTGAAATTTCTTTCTCTGGTGGAGCCCATAAGAAAATGGCTCTTGTAATGTAAGGCGACTTAATTTGCGGCCCTTCAGCCCTCTGACTGGGCCCCGGATGTCTGTTGGGGTTGATCTTCTCCCAACACACAGCAAAAGTTGATTCTCCTTATTATTTCTTTTACCAAGCAGATCTGGTTATATTATAGATCTCAAAGAGAAGCTAATCCAGCATAGACAATGTTTGGCACTGTACAGTACATGGTATCCATGGATGTCAATAAGATAGATAAAAAACTATAAACTTTCACCACATGAAACTAAAGACATCCAAACCCTTAAGAGGTAATAAAATGTTAACGTTGGCAATTGAATTCATCTAAGCATGATAGGAAAAAAAAGTAACCCCAGAAAATCATAGCATATAATGTATCTAACACTGTACAACTGTTTCTCTTCATTATGGTTAAAATATAATAGGAAAAAGACCTATGTGATGCTTATAAAATATTAGCTGACTTATCCAGCCTTGCCTGGGTGGAGGAAAAGGAGATAAGTGACCATCTCCCAGGCCACCTGCATCTCCCTGCCAAATTTCAGCTCTGTCTTCAAAACTATGGAAATGCATAAGGAACATGAAGACAGATACACACAAAGAGAGCATTACAGCTGCTCCCCGACTTACGACGGGGTTACGTGCCCAAAACCAGGTCGTAAGTCGAAAATGCTTAAATAATACATAGAAAATCTAAAATGGGTGTCTCTTTTTCTTCTCAGCACCTCAAAACTCTCACTTTTAAGCTTGCCAGCCATTTTAAAGTGAATTACAAACAAAAATTTTGTCATACAAAGCGCAACCACCGACGTTGGGACTCGAAAATACGTAATTTGACAAAATTTTGGTACGACTGAGGCGGTCGTATGTCCAGGTGGTCATAAGTCGGGGAGTAGCTGTATATAAATATACAGTAAAGTATACTGTATAGCTAACTACAGGACTTGCACTTAATACCAAAAGTAGGTCACGGTCACTCATGGTAACCAGGGACCAGCCCCGAAATTTAATCAGTTTAAAACCTCGACTGGGTAGCTCTTGGACCCATCCCATATGATTGAAATGATTTGATCCAATCATTATTAAAAAGTAAGCCAGACTCAATCATTCATAAAACTCTCCATCATACCTGACAATTATGACTAGTACAAGTCAAATTCAACAGGTGGAGAGCCTGCCAACACCAAACATATACAGTACAGTACTGTACTGTACTGTACAGTAGACCCTCGCCATTCGCAAGTGTGCGATCGCGATTTCGACGATTCACAGTAAGCAGATGTTGGCTATGGTAGCTAGCTTGCGAGCCTTTTCCCACAGCACAACGAGTCACCCCACGCAGCATATCACGTTGTTCTCTCAAAACTTTTGTGATTCTGTGTGAAATGGCTCCTGAAAGACTACCTAGTGTCAGTTCTAGTGATGCTAGTGGAGTGAAATGTAAAAAGCAGAAGTCAATGATGACCCTGACAAAGAGTTTTATTGTTAGATAAGTTTTGCCAATTCGTGCCATTTCTTGGAACCTATCCCTCGCAGATGGCAAGGGTCTACTGTACTGTATTTCACTAATAGCTACTCACTAAATTATATGAAGACCAACATTATTTGTAATTTTTCTATTATATTCTCTTCAGTATGCTTTTACCTATCTCATGAGTTTATAATGATTTAGATATTAATTTAAAAAATATGAAGAACTTAGACAAGAAACAGTGACTGAGCATGAGTGGCATGGACAGAGTTAGTAGGGGGATAAAACTGATAGACCATTAAAACAGCTAGCAGGGGGTAGAACTGGATAAGCAGCTATGATACAAAGTGTTTAGCAATCACTCGTCAAATTATCACACTTTGTCTCTTCTTTGACCTTCTGGTGGCTTTCTACTTACCTTTATATATTTTCAGCTTTAAATATCTAGCTGATTGACCTGTTTCCAAAGTTTCAATAAATTTAATCCTAGTGATTAAATAAAATATGTTGCCAAGAATATTTTAGGGATAGCTGAAGGAGAACCTGATGGTTTACTTACATTTTTCATGTGCCAAGTTGCTAGCGCTTCCCTCCCTCATTTTTTCAATACTGCGATTCAACTCCATTTCCAATTGAGACCCAAGAACCTCATCATGACCATCTGTAGGAATAAAATATAAAATAACTAAATTAATAAATTAATTAATTAATAAACTGGTAAATTTCAGGAATGAGGTAAATAACTGGCCCATGGTAACAACAGTTTGCTAGATCCCCATAAGAGAAGCATTAATGGAACAATCAGCAAACTTGCACTACGAACAGTTGTTTTTCCAACCATATTTGAAAGTTTAAATTCTAAGAGAAAAGTGTGCTCCCTTGTTATTGAGGATTGTCAATTAAAACTGAAGGCCCCCAACACTTCTTAAAATTTCCCATACCAATCCTATGGTGTAGTGCATTCCTTACATACAGTACAGTTTACTGTAGTACTGTATTTCAAAACACATGATCAGTTTCAGCTTCGTGTCCTAGGGAGGAAGGAAAAAACTAAGGCACTTGTTTGCCTCTTAGTTACAAATGGGATTTCAGGATTCAATTCTTATTCATCGCTTAGTATTCACAAATCGTTTGTGACAGGATAAAGTCAGCTAAAAACAGAAGGTGAAGAAGCAAAGAACTCTTGAGTGTATCCCAAATGGGAAGTCAAATTAGCTCAAAAATAGGCAAATGGTGGAAAAAATCTATATAAAGATGAAATTTTGCATACATGCTCCTGAAGGCTATAGAAATCAAGATCAAAAGAGTTAATTCACTATGACAAATGTGATATCAACATGAAAAAATTATGATAAACATTAGAAGACCTGTGTGTGACGTTTTACTTTTCATGGTTACACAAGTGATTCAATACAGAAGCATAAATGAAGATTACGCCACACGGCCCCGGTAAACTAGCTGTAACAGGCTAAGCTTAGACATGTACCTTCTTCTTCCTGACACTGTAGTGAGCGAGGTGCTTTCCCAACACTACGGCTCCTCCTGCTGCACATGGTGTGGTCACTCCTGCAAATGTTAAAACTTGAAGAAAAAGTGCAATACCAGTACCCATAGTGTTTAAAATGCAAGCAAATTAAGATTCGGTAAAGTAAATGCACTAAAGTCTGTGTGTGTGCGAATGTGAACCAGGTGACCCGGCTAATAGCTCAAAGGCTATTCATTAGGGTGTGACAGTTGCCCCAACTTTGTCCTACAATGCTGTTCAAAATTTTGGTGTTGCATATTGACATAAAAAATACCCACGTGCAATTTTGTGAAGATTCATACATATTTGAGTGAGCACCAGCAATTTGAAAAATAGCGATTTTGCTTTTACGGCATACGCGCCTATATATGAGATTACACAACCATCATTAGGGATATTAACACAAATCATTTGCCTGTCTTAATTAAAAGCTGTTATCACTAACACAAAAAAGTTAATCATTCTTATTCTCTCATGGTACATTAAGGGGTTTTATCATATATTCACAAGGTATTATTTCTCTAGAGCAAGAAACCATGATTTCTGTTCGGAAACAGATGATCGTTTGTGCTGATTAGGAACGTGGAGTCTGTCATTTTCAACTACTTGAAGGACTTCTTGAAAGCGCTCCTCATCCCTGGCAACATTAAGAAAGTCATGGCAAAGTCTTACACCACGCTCTGCAGCCTCATTGACGACCCGAAGCTTGTCCACAACCCGTTTCATGTTCAGGTAGTCGTCATGATCCGCCCATTCACTGGCTGGACTGTGGAGAAACTGATAGGGCATGCCTAAAATGGTGAAGAACCGGCTTGAGTCAGGCCCAATTAGGTCCACCAGGGCAGTGCCACTTTCTGGGACAGGGGGAAGATTTGGCTTTCCATAGCCCCCATGATTGAGCCCCACTCTCTTAGTAACTTCAGTGCCTGCAAAGAAGGGCCTTCCTCATCTCCTTCTTTTGTCCTTTCTTGTACTTGGGACGAGAACAAAGCCAGTGGGGCCAACTCCTCAGTTAGGTACCAAGTGTGTCTACCGAGTGCCACACGTGCTTTGTCAACTGTTGTGGCGTCATATGGGACAAATTCAGCCAAGGTTTCGACCAAATTCAAGTCATTCAGTGGCGCACTTGCTGGAACGGGGCAAACAATCCACCATGGGACATAAACAGCGACTGTGAACACACCAAACCGTTCTAACTTGCTGATTTGACTTTTAGTCACAACCTCAGCTTTGGGAAACTGCTCTTTGATCTGGCCTGACAAAAGAACAATCTTAAGGGTATAGAGCAGTTTAGCCATCCACCTTGCTTTGTGAAGTGTGCCGGGGTAGACCATTGTGAAGTTCACTGGCTCGGATCCTTTAGTTACAAGCAGCAGACAAAGCTCTACCAGCTCCTTGTAGTCGCCACGTGTAAATGGTTGGGCTAGAGATTCACGGAAGAAGTCAGCCATCTCCTGCTGGCGCTCCTCAAACACTCCAGGCATTGCGGGGTAGTAGTATTTCTTTTTTTCATTGTACGCCAGTTGAGAGAAATTCATTTGCTTGGTGTTAGTATATCTTATAAGTCTAATAAAAGAAATTCCACTAAATTTGTTCATAGGATAATAATATTTATTGTTATTTTGTAAAGCCGACAGTGCTAGCTCAAACATGCACCGATCTCCAAGAAAATTTACAGGGGTGTTTCCTAAATAAATACATAACACTAAAACTTTGAGCAGCATTGTAGGATCATTTTTTTATTTTTGAAGGGCAACGGTCACACCCTACTATTCATCCCTCCCTTACCTGTCCTTGAGGCTTGAGTTTAGGTTAAGTTAGCCATAAAAACAATAAATAGCACTGCTGTAGGCTATTTTACCAGGTGACCCAGTTCAACAGCCCCATGCAGGGTTGTTGAGGGGTCCGACTAATTACCCAAATGTAGCCAAATATAGCCGGAATGAAGTCAAATAATGGTCCTAGATGAATAAATCGGACTGCCAATCACTTCTCGACTAGTATTTGGTGTCAGAAAGTCACAAAAAATTGGAAAACTTACTTTAATCTGAGTTAATAGATCGCGTGCATGTACCTAACCTAACCTAACCTCGACTAGTATTTGGTGTCATGAAGTCACATAAAATTGGTAAACTTAATTTAATCTGAGTTAATAGATCAAGTGCATGTACCTAACCTAACCTAACCTAACACAACACAACTCAGATTAAATTATGTTTACCAATTTTTTTTTACTTTCTGACACCAAATACTAGTCGAGAAATGATTGGCAGTCTGATTTATTCATCTAGGACCATTATTTGACTTCATTCCGGCTATATTTGGCTACATTTGGGTAATTAGTCGGACCGTTGTTGAGCCCATGAAAAGCATTACCTAAATCCACTGTCCAAGCCCCAACACTAAACACCTTTAACTCTCTTCTTCCTGTCTGATAACCTTTTCGACTGTTTGATTCCCTATACCTTAATTCACCACCACTGTTCTCACACGTAGGTACAAGTTAACCAGCCCTTATTAACCTGTACTGTTTCCTGTTGTTGCCTGACCCTGTGGCTGAATAAACCTATACTGTATATAATAAAGACATTGATGGCTACAGCTGGGAACAAACCTATACATTATACTGTAGATTTAGAGACGTAAAAAAAGTCGCAACATACCTGGACCGTCAACTGATGGACGTGTTGAGACTGATCACTACACCACCTCACACACTGCTGTCTGTAAATAACTCGTTAAAAGAGCATAGACTACAGGGCACCAGCCGCACCTCACATAGACTACAGGGCACCAGCCGCACCTCACATAGACTACAGGGCACCAGCCGCACCTCACCGCCTCAGTCATTCAAAACAACCTCCACTGACTGCCGCCAGTGTTGCCAGACCAAACTCACAAATGTCGCTACAGACTCGCGGTTAAGAGTCGCTAACATGTCGAAATAACAAGACGAACAGGAAGGAGAAATATTCAAGTAAAAAAGTAATTTATGAAGTGTATATTCAACACAAACTGTAAATTTATGTAATTTCAAGCGCCTCTAGTTTTGTAGCTAGATTTTTATGAAAATCTTTAGATCTAGCGACAAAGTCGCTAAGCTGGCAATCCTGGTACTGACCGCCTCATGGGGTAACAAACTCAATTAAATTTAAAAAAAATTCTTACAGCTCTTTGTACAAGCAAAAAAATTAGTAAAGATTTTATTAAATAGCTATAATGTGCCAATTAAATAAGTTAAAATCTATGATATATTTAAAATTATTTATTTATATTTTTAATAACGACTACGAACATAATATTTTACGTCTGAAACACGGTACAAGGGGGTCCGGACCTCCTTGTACCAGAAAATTGAAATAATTTTTCTTTAATGCAGTATTGTACTCAGGCATGATTAAACTGACTGTCAGAACATGTGTCAGGAGACTGGGAACGAGCACAATAAAGCAAGGGCGTATCCAGGAATATAAAAAGGGGGGTCCAAGAAGTTGTGGGTGTGGGAACATGGCGAGCTTAGCGAGCCCACCCAGCCCTGTATTTAGATATCCAAACTAACCTAACCTAACCTAACCAACTTAGTCTAACCTAATGTAACAACCGATTCCCCGGATGACCGAAACTAAAATAATACCAAATTAATATCACTATAGTTTTTAACCAATCATAAATGTGTGTATAATAATAATAAAATAATAATAATAATAATAATAATAATAATAATAATAATAATAAAATAATAATAATAATAATAATAATAATAATAATGATAATAATAATAATAATAATAATAAAATAATAATAATAATAATAATAATAATAAAATAATAATAATAATAATAATAATAATAATAATAATAATAATAAAATAATAATAATAATAATAAACGGTTTATTAATAGAGTTTCAGCCGGTGGCTGAAAATATACAAACTTACATTTGTTTTGACATAATAATATATGTTCAATACATTTACAGGGCTGTACAGTACATAAATCAGGAGCTGTTAATTATTTTAACAATAGATGGGATGGTGCTATTCTTATATCTATCAGTGCTGACTCTTATGGGCTGAATTTGGTTGTAGTGTGTGTGTGTGTGTGTGTGTGTGTGTGTGTGTGTGTGTGTGTGTGTGTGCATATAACACAAGTTATTCCTGCAAAGATACTTAAACATTTTCTACTTCTCAATATCAGAGAAAATAAGCTCGAGAAAAAAAAAAGTTAACTTTTGGGCTAACTTCTCTACTTAACAAAGTTTACAGGTGGGGGGTAGGTTAGGTTAGGTTAGGATCACTGCTGAGCTTCTCGGCGCATGTGCATACATTCATCAGTTTTCGAATCGGTGGACGAGGGGCACAATTATGATGTGGTATATCTCGACTTTAGCAAAGCCTTCGACAGAGTCCCCCACGAAAGACTAATTAGAAAGGTAGAAGCTCATGGCATCAAAGGCAATATCCTTAAATGGATTAGGGCGTGGTTACAGGACAGGAAACAGCGAGTGAGCATTAACGGCACTAAGTCCATTGGAGCAACGTCACAAGTGGAGTTCCCCAAGGCTCAGTACTTGGACCATTATTATTTATTATATACATAAACGACATAGATATCGGCATAGACAGCAACATAAGTAAATTTGCTGATGACACTAAAATAGGACGTGTTATTAAATCTGACGAGGACTCGCAAAACTACAGGAAGATCTAAACAAATTTTTCGAATGGTCTGAAAAATGGCAGATGAAATTCAACGTGGACAAATGTAAAGTACTCAGTATAGAGATGTAAACAGGGAAACCAGATACCAGATGAACAACGATGCCATAGAGAAATCCACTAAGAGAGATTTAGGAGTAATGATAAGTAGGAACCTTAAGCCAAGTAAACAATGTGTTTTGCTCGTAACAAGGCTAATAAAGTACTTGGGTTCATACAAAGGAGTGTTAGTTACAAGACTAGCGAGGTCATCCTAAAACTGTATCTTGCGCTTGTGAGACCACACCTGGATTACGCAGTTCAGTTCTGGTCACCGTATTACAGAATGGATATAGAATCTTGAAAGAATTCAGAGGAGAATGACAAGACTAATCCGGCATTAGGAACCTTGAGTATAGAGACAGGTTAAAGCATCTTAATTTGCACTCCCTCGAGAGACGTAGAGCGAGGGGCGACCTGATAGAGGTGTATAAGTGGAAGTCAGGGCTAAACAAAGGGACATTACAAAGGTACTCAAACTATCCAACCAGGAGCGAACTCGTAACAATGGTTTTAAATTAGACAAATTTAGATTTAGGCGTGAAATAGGTAAACACTGGTTTGGAAACAGAGTAGTGGATGAATGGAACAAGTTACCAAATATCATCATTAACTCGAATACGCTGGATAGCTTCAAACATAGGTTGGATGCTTATATGAGCATAGGGTTGGGTGTAAACGGGACTGCCCAGTAATAATAGGCTCGCTGCAGTTTCCTCCATTCTTATGTTCTTACAATTCTCTCCAGTGGATTTTTTTTCTTGACGATATAGAAAGATGGCGCTACTGAGTTCATCAGTATTAGGAACATTAAAGAAGATATAGTAGGATTCCTATTGCCTACAGGGTTTATTAGCATCTTGTGTACCGCCGGCAAGACCATGGGCTCGGAACATTCATCTTGCCCGAGGTGCCCGCCTCTGTGGATGTCGGTCATACCTAGAATAACCCGTTATAGTACATCTTTCTTTCCTCACACAGTCAAACTGTGGAATGCTCTGCCTTCTTCTCTGTTTCCACACTCATACAATCTGTCTCACTTCAAAAAGCTGGTTTTCCGGCATCTTCGTGGTGTAGATTAATATAATCTTTTCCTGTTTTTAATTTATTTTCACTCTTATTTGTTTGCCCCCTAAGCCCCGTTGTGGGTCGATGACCTGTTCCCCGTAAAAAAGGGGAGGGGGGGGGGGATAAATCGTATCTGGTAAGGGCAGAATCTTAGTGCAACTGTAATGCCATTTTTTTCAATACTGTATTTAGCCAAATGAAAATGTGGAGAGTGATCGTTGGAGAATCTAAGACTCCATCGTTCCCGGATTCTCCAAAGCTTGATCTTTAAATTTCCCCCAAACTGAAGACACAGATGTTGCTCACTTAAGTTGTAACGCAACTGTAATGGCCCAAATATCGCAGAAAATGCACTAAAATTCTTTAACTCTTAGATGTACTGTGTACTCAACTGGGTGGATACAGTGAAGGGCTAAAAACACTAGTTTAATATCCTTGGATACAGCTCTCGCCTCCTATATATCCTCAGGGTCGCACATTCCCATTCAGCTCTGAATGGGAATTTATCATTACAGCTGAGTAAGTGCATACGGTCGAGTATGCACCAGAAAATTTCAATAATATTTCTTTAATGCAGTATTGTACTCAGGCATTTTTGTATAGTAAAAATTATTTACTATTGACTTTAGAATATCTCCATATCAAGTGTACATGGCTTAAAAATGGCCTCAAAATGCCCATGATATTGGTTCAGATTTCAACAAAGATGGGTGGGCTCGCTGCGCTCACAATGTTCCCCCACCCATAACTTCTTGGACCCCCCTTTTGATATTCCTGGATCCGCCCCTGAGCGCCCAACAGGGAAGTATGCGGAGTTCATGTTTGCCTTCGTGACTCATGCATTATAGATGCAAGCGCATGAAGAAGAGCGTCATAGGTCAAGGTCACAACGGCAGGTCATCATGTAGTCAGCTGCTACAGTGTCCCGTGGTGCTGCTGTTCGTGGCCGTGATAGTAGGATCCAAGGCTACGGACCCCATCCCCTCCAACCCCACGCTGTCTGTCAACTCTATGGACACTCATTGCAACTAACTCTGTCAACACCACGTACCCTGTCAACACCACGCACCCTGTCAATGCCACGCACCCTGTCAACGCTACGCACCCCGTCAACGCCACGCACCCCGTCAACGCCACGCACCCTGTCAACACCACGCACCCTGTCAACGCCACGCCCCGTCAACACCACGCACTCTGTCAACACCACGCACTCTGTCAACACCACGTACCCTGTCAACACCACGTACCCTGTCAACACCACGTACCCTGTCAACACCACGTACCCTGTCAACGCCACGCACTCTGTCAACACCACGTACCCTGTCAACACCACGTACCCTGTCAACACCGCGCACCCTCTTGGATCCCCGTCAGTTATCTACATCACGACCTCACACCCAAAGTGCTTACGCCCACAAAGCTCGGGATTAGTCAACTCTCCTTAATTTTCATTCTTGGGTAAGTGTTCCTCAGTAGCTGCGGGTGTTGTGAGATGGACATGATTTGCAGTAGTCGATATATTTTTTTTTCTTCTCCAAATCATTACTATATAAGTGTACACCGCACCTCACCATACCCTGTCCACTGTATACTGCTACATATTTTCAGACACTTGATGTACATTCTTCTAACAATGGCCAGAGAACTTTAGTCCGATGTCACCATGCACATCCCGGGGTGAACAAGGGATGCACAGTAAACTAGCCTTGGCCAGATGCATTCCCTATTTATCACCATTTGTATACCTACACTGTTTATGTATATTGTTTGTATACCTTCACTGTCTATGTATATTGTTTGCATACTTTCACTGTCTATATACTGTACAAGCTAAGTAAATTAATGTGAACTTGTAAGACGATTTTAGTTAATATCTCTATGTCTATCTAATAAGCTTTTCTCTATATGGCTAGAGACGCTGTTACTCTAAGTCAAAGTAGTCACAGTTTTCTCAAATGCCCGAAAAACTGTTTTTATTGCACAAACAGTTACTGTCAATTTAAACCAAAAGTTTATCATGTGGACCTTGACACCTGATGATCAAACACGTTCACGATAGACACGACGGACCGAGCACAATATTCTGCTGGTTGATTCCGGGATAGTGTTATTAAACTAATGTTGAATCATACTGGGGTAATAAATTAGTGTTTTTGTAAAAGCATTCTGGATTGATATGCTGAAATCATTATAAATCATACTTGGATAATGTTCAATATGTGATAAGAAAAAAGTTTAGTACTGTAATTAACTTGTAAACCATAAGGGGGATTATGAGATTAAATTGGCTTAAGACTATGATTGGTGACCAGAAGGTGGTAGGCGTGACTCAGACAGGTCGCGGCTTCTCATTGGTTGACGTATCAATATATGTTCTCCAGCCGTCAGCTTGATGGTCACATTTCCTGTTTTGTTTAAGGAGTGTACACAGTATCGTGAGAGCAGACCACCTCAAGAGTACAGTCACCACCACTATGGCTGGTCTAGTTTCTCTACACAACACATCTCATCTTCTTCAGCAGGTAAGATTTATTTATTTATTTACTTCATCAGTTATTTATTCACAGAGTCCAGAGTGCTTGTATGATATTTCCCCCAAATTACTATCTTTGGAGACTTGACCAGGCTTTACCATATGTCAACAATGTTATGTCAAGTCCTTGGTGATATTTTGAAGGTGTCATAATCTCATGCAACCTGGGGTCACTTTAGCCTAATACTATACGATATTTGTTCGGGCGTTCTGCTCATCTTGATAATATATTTTCTGTTTCCAGCACGGACCCGTGTTTGGCGGCAACACAATGAGTGGCTCGCAGATGTCGCAGTGGTCAGGAATGGGCAGCAGTTATGGCCTGGGCGGCACCACTCCTCTCAGTCCAATCTACCGCCTGCATGATCTACCCTTTTCTGTCTCAGCCAATACTGGAACTGGACCATACCCCAGCCTGCACCAACATTACCCTCAGCAGGCCCTCGTGTCCCCGCCCATGTCACCGCCGAAGGAAGGCGAAGCGAACTCGTGGTGGAGCATGAGTGGCCCCACAAATACTCCTTCACCACCTACCCACAACTACCAGCAGCAGCACCCTAGTGTGGCTGCACCGTCCGGCTTTCCTCACGCCTTACCTCAGCCGGTATCATACGGCATGACACAGGAAGCACTCCTTCACCACCAGAGCCAGATTGCTGCTGCACTTCTCAAGACACAAAATGCTGTCAATGTTCGACGGTGTCGCCGCTGTCGCTGCCCCAACTGTCAGGACGCCTCGCAAGACAATCAAGCTGCCAAGAAGAAGCAACACATATGTCACGTGCCCGGCTGTGCTAAGGTGTATGGTAAAACCTCTCACTTGAAGGCGCACCTGCGCTGGCACGCCGGCGAACGGCCCTTCGTTTGTCAGTGGCTGTTCTGCAACAAAGCGTTCACCCGCTCAGACGAGCTTCAGCGCCACCTTAGAACACATACGGGAGAAAAACGTTTCCAGTGTGTGGAGTGTGGCAAACGTTTCATGCGGTCTGACCACCTCAACAAACACGTCAAAACCCACGAGAACCGCCGCGCACGCGCAGTATCCAATACCCCAGACCATCTCGACATAGAGAACTGCGATGATGATGATGACGAAGACGACGACGACCAACTTCCCCTTGATAACGAGCTGCCAACCTTGGAGGACCAACTGCCTGACTCGCCCATCTCAGAGACGGAGCTGCCAGACTCCAGCACCAGCGACGCCGGCCCAACACATCCCTACACACACCGCCAGATGATTATACCATTTATTACCACCACACCAGACACAACCAATATTAGTACTACAGATATAACTTTTCAAAATAAACCTTTACCATAACTATCATATCATGTCTCTTTATTCGCCGAGGAAAAAGGAACAAGACTTGAAAACCTGAATTTTTTCTTTGCGGTTGACGGATCAAAGGAGTAACAGAGATAAATAATATTAACCCTGAATAAAATACACAAGTGTGGAGCTGCCCTACAAGACGCAAAATTATTATTTTTATTTATTCTTTATTCTTAACCACAAAGTCTGTTCAACCTAACTTACTCGGGAATTTCAAAAGGTTGTGGTAAGATTTTCATGAGCCAAAAATGCTGAAAAACTATAGATTTACCGGTGATCTTGTGTGGAGCCAATAAGTAACAATTTGTTCTCTAAGAGGTGAATAATGGTAACAAATGGAACGATGCGATATGTTAAAAGTGCAATAAAGAGTTGGTAAAAGCTATGGAAGAATATAAAGTTGGACAGAAATTATTAACTCTAAAATACGGAGGCGTAGAGCAACATGGTGATAAAAGAAGAACTTAAGATTGACACATTATTGGAACACTGTAACAAATTTTACAGAATATATTACACCGATGCACTGTTGATGAGCGTTTAATTCACACAGTACATAGAGCGCTTAGTAAGGCTGACATAAGAACATAAGAATGGTGGAAACTGCAGCGGGCCTATTGGCCCATACTGGGCAGTCCCGTTTACACCCAACCCCTATTGCTCATATAAGCATATAACATCAAGTATTATACTGAAGTAACACGTAGAGAATGAGGGTTATAGTAAATTGTAATCATATGCGTGATATAAACAAAACTACAGTTAAGTCCATAAACAAATGCTCTCTCATGACGAAAACACGTAGGAATTCCTTCTGTCCAATTTGTGTGTACAGTTAGGCTTCAGTTTACCTCTCATTTTATCCCTGCAGTTAATACGTGCTTCTCATGCCAGTATATTAAGATTAACAACAAATATTTATTACATGACAAAGACACTAAATAATACGTAATACTGCCTCCCCTGGCCTGTGAACTGCCCTCCCAGGTTTACCGACGACGAGCAGGTTGGCGTGGCTGGCGGAACATGATCAGGGAGGGGTGTGCGGGAGCGTGTATTACAACATTTGACACTCGTACAACACAGTCAACATACAGTACTGTACTTGACTCTCATATGAACAACTATAAATGCATGACCTGTTTTATTATCTCTGTTGAAATATTTACCTGTTTGTTTGGATCCTGTTATCACTAATACGTGATAACAATACTACTTAGTCACTAGATACTACTACTACTACCACCAACAACACCAATAATAATAATAATAATAATTATTATAATAATATTAATAATGTAATGGATTAACTGAAGAATCTCTATCCCAGAGTGTCCATCTGGAGGAACCTCCATGATCATGCCGCGTGAATTCTTGATGATAAGATATAAAGTCTCGTTTACATCCACCCGTTATCTTAATGTAGCTCGTGTGTTTTCCAATATGGTTCGTTTATACACCGGTGCACACGGAATATGATGTGGTGTTAGTGTGGGTCTCAGATCATGTAAGTGTGCGCGTCAGATATACAGGTCAGGTGAAGGTCATATAGCCAACACACATTTGACCTGACTTCACCTGAAGAATCTCCCCCCAGCACTACCTAGGGTACAGAGTCCTCAGATGATCCAATAATAATAATAATAATAATAATAATAATAATAATAATAAAGAACAATATTTAACCCTTTGGCTGCGGGAGGTTAGTAAGCTGAATAAAATTATCTGGCGGTAGCCAGAATAAAATGGCAAGTGCGGGAAACGCAGAGAAAGGGTTAATTGACCGAGATAGGGGATCACCTGAAGAATCGTCACCCCAGAATGTCCACCTGAAGAATCGTCACACCAGGATATCCCACCTGAAGAATTGTCACCCCAGCCTGCTCCACCTGAAGAATCGTCACCTCAGCCTACAGTGAATATAATTTGTATAATTAGGATAACATAAATATATTCCTTTGTGTTATGCATCTTTATTGTGAAAAGTTTAAAGAAAAAAGAAGAAAGAATATTATACACCTAACCTAACTTAACTCTGGGATGACAATTCTTCAGGTGATCCGAGATAGGTTTTAACCCTAGTTCAGTCTCCCGCCCAGGATAGACTCGGTCAACCATCACAGGTTTGGTCTGGGTACTCCGGTTTCCTCCTGTACTAACACTGGACCGACCACCCGAGCGGCTAGTGAGCTGATAAATAAAACAATACCAGCTTCTTTTTGTACTTGATTACACTACATTTTTTCTTCAATATTATTTTTCATATAGGAACTCGCATTTTGTTTTCATTATTTATAAGTTCTACATAATATAGTGGATACTTAGGAAGGTAAGGCACGCGTAGTGGTGAGGTAGGGTGGTGACCTCACTCGCCCTTCACACCTCTGTGTCAACTGCCCTCATCAGTATTACACCACGGATAAGTCTCCTTTTGACACTTTTAACCACCATCATTACCATAATTACCACACAATATGACCACTACCTTGCCCACCTGCACCACCACACCTGCCAACTGTGTACAGACACCACTACCACCAACATCAACCACTACCACCCTACTACCATAACCACTGCTACCAATTACAACTAATATTATCACTTCAACCACGGCTACCACTAACATGATCTCTCAACTACCACCCTACTACAACCAACATTGTCACCCTACCACCACCATCATTACCACCCAACCTTACCTCCCTATTACTACTACAACTACCATCCCACTACCACTATTACCGTCACACTACTATCATTATTACTATCGCACTACTACCATTACTACCACCTCCCACGACTACTATCCAACTACTACCATTACACTTTTACCATTACTACCATCCTACTACTACTTCTACTACCACTATTACCATCTCACTTTTACCACACTACCACTACCATCCCACAATTACCAATACTATCTTCCCACTACTACCACTATTACATCTACTACTATCCCACTAGTATCACTGGAGCCCGGACAAAAGACCCCTAGGAGAAAAGACCCCTAGGACAAAAGCCCCTCAGTAAAAGTGCAAAATAGGAGAGAAGCCCCTTGTTTTTATGTTAAAGAGAAGGTCATTAGAAACATTAAAAATATATAGATTTAAATATGAAATTATTACAATTAAAATAATTAGAATATTATAACTCTTTCAATTTTGATATAGAACATTATTAATTAAATAGAAAAGAAAAAAGACGACATATTTTACCTTCATTTTTTTTTTATTATTTACTGGGCACCTCCCTACACCTTGTGTAAGGTGAAGCGCAGAAGCGTTTACAGCGCCCAACATGCTTGCCTTTATGTCTCATGAGTTAAGGGCGTAGAAGCCTGAAGAGTCAATGGTTTATATCATCAAGTTATTGGAAGCACCAACAACTTGTCCCTGAATACGAATTCGCAACTTTCGACTTACAACAGGTACCTACTTTACTGCTAGGTGAACAGGGACTAATGGGGGCTAGGAAGTAAGTCCATTCTGTATTTACTGAGGTGACCCTAGGGCCCAGTGAGGTCACTGAATGTCAGGGGAGTAATTACCCCAGTAGACAAAACATACGCCAATGCAGATTTAATAAACATTCCTTGTATATTTCTTTATAACTATAACAGAATTACCAAAGGTTAGGTTAGGTTCATAAACTGTAAAAAAAATGTATCACCTGAAAAATTGTCACCCCAGAGTTTGGCAGGGTGACAAATCTTCATGTGGGATATCCTAGGGTGACAATTCTTCAAGTGGGGTCAGGACCCTCCATGGTTGTTAATCTTCAGGTGAGTGGAGTCAGGACCCTCCAGTCAGGTAGGAGGACTATATAATAGTAAGTGGGCTCAAAAATTTTAGTCCTAATCATCAGTCGACCATGGCAGGCAATACCTTCCAAACTGTCGTCCTACCACTGTTGTGTGATGAGTCCTCTAAAGTTATTCGGTGGCTTCAACAAAACAGACTTTTAAAGCGTAAAGTGAAGTGTGATACTTGTAATAACTGGATGAATTGGACAAAATACTTCAGATCGAAGGATGGTTTTCTGTGGAAATGCCAAACAAAAGACTGCCTGAAGTATAAATCCACTAAGTCTATAAATTAACTCGAATACGCTGAATTGCTTCAAACATAGGTTGGATGCTCATATGAGCAATAGGGGTTGGGTGTAAACGGGACTGCCCAGTATGGGCCAATAGGCTCGCTGCAGTTTCCTCCATTCTTATGTTCTTATGTTCTTATAAGAATAGGATCTTTTTTTGCCAGTTCTAATATTTCACTTCAGAAGTGGGTTCATGTTACGTGAGCGTATTGGAGAAACAACAGCAGGCCGTCAGGTTTTTCTGATAATCCTCTGGATGCATAACACAAAGGAATATATTTATGTTATCCTAACTATACAAATTATATTCACTGTGGGCTGGGGTGACAATTCTTCAGGTGGAATATCCTGGGGTGACAATTCTTCAGGTGGACATTCTAGGGTGACGATTCTTCAGGTGATCCCAAGATGCTTCTACGCCAGCTGGCTGAGATTTTAACAGGACAGACGCAGCAACCCATAAGTTACATCATAGCCTGGTTGAGATGTCTCCTATCCTTCTCTTTGCTCAGGCTGCTTTGCTATGTCTCAGAGGAACGAGATCTGCCCCAAACAGTCACAGATATGGACTATAAGGCAACAGTCACTCAATGCCGCATAGATCTGCTGCTTAACTAACTCAGCTTGGGTAAATACTTTTATATGGGGGTATTTAGGTAATAAAATATTGGAGAAGGTATGGCTGTAAGGGGAGGTTGGGGGCCATATAAAAAAAGTGGTAATAGAAATAGTAGTCGTGGAATGGTAGTGATACTGAGTGTAGGACAAAAGCCCCCCAGGACAAAAGTTCACCAGGACAAAAGTCCATCAGGAGAAATAATAAGAATTTTTTAAATAATTATTATTTTTTGGATCACCTGAAGAATCGTCACCCCAGAATGTTCTCCAGG